ATTGAATGTCGGGCTACTGATGGAACTTTTTGGGCTGGCTGCGCCGGGGCTTTCCTATTGGTATCATAGGGCCTGGTATATCGGTCCTTTTTGAGTTGCAGTGCGTCAGGCTGGCGGAGTCATACTTGATGTATGCCGGGCTTCTGGCAGTATCTGATAGTGCATGGTCGGCGGATCCTGGGTCCCACTATGCAGCGGGATGGGAGAGGGAGGCAGATCCCTTGATCTCCGACAGACAACCACTCGAGTGACTTCATACTCTAATGATGTATGTGTTGTACATAGACAGTTTACAACTTGTTACGTGCCTTCGATTCAGAGGAATTATCATATTCAGACCAAGAGCATTTGCAAGAAACAGTGACTTTTTAGTTATTTGAAATATCCAATTGAATGTACAGTGATATCCTATTTATTTAAATACAGTCTACCGCCCATCCATCCCATAGAAAAGGACCGAATGCCGGATAAGACACTGACAATACATTTGAGAAAAGAGTCCCGCCAATCCAACGCCAAACCCATGCTTATACCTCAAATAGTCTCATAAATCAATAACGCAGATCCCAGGAACAGAAAACGACAAAGGAAAAATTAGCTCGTATCTGATGGCAGGCGCCAGCGGGCACTCTGCCGGGTATATTCGTGAAGTTGGTTTAGAAGTCCTCATCGAAGTTGAGGCCGCCACCGCTGGCGGAGCTTTCATCTTGCTTGGCCTCCTTCTTGGTGCTGGCCATCACACCAGCCTTCTGGTAGTCACCAACACGCTTCTCGAAGAAGTTGGTCTTACCGGCGAGGGAGATGTTGTCCATGAAGTCAAAGGGGTTGGTGGCGTTGAAGTACTTCTTGTTGCCAAGGGCGACCAGGAGACGGTCGGCGACGAACTCAATGTACTGGCACATCAGGTTGGAGTTCATACCAAGGAGAGCGCAAGGGAGAGCATCAGTCAAGAACTCCTTCTCAATGGCGACAGCTTCCACGATAACGTCCTCCACAACCTGGGGGTCGGGGCGGTTGTTCAGGTGCGAGAAGAGGAGACAAGCAAAGTCAGTGTGGAGACCCTCATCACGAGAGATAAGCTCGTTGGAGAAGGTAAGACCGGGCATCAAGCCACGCTTCTTCAGCCAGAAGATAGAGGCGAAGGATCCAGAGAAGAAGATACCCTCAACAGCGGCAAAGGCCACAAGACGCTGGCCGAAGGTCGACTCCTGATCCTGGATCCAGCGGATAGCCCAATCGGCCTTCTTGCGAATGCAAGGAACTACTTAGGGTTAGTAAAAGTATAGAAACTGTGTTAACCAGGATCAACATACTGGTATCGATGGCGTCAAAGAGGTAGGTACGCTGCTTGGGCTCCTTGATATAGGTATCAATCAAAAGAGAGTATGTCTCCGAGTGGATGTTCTCGATCATAATCTGGAAACCGTAGAAGCAACGAGCTTCAGGGATCTGCACCTCTCCGCTGAAACGCTCGAGCAGGTTTTCGTTGACAATGCCATCGGAGGCAGCAAAGAAGGCAAGGACACGAGAGATGAAGTAGCGCTCGTCATCGTTCAGGCGGTTGTGCCAATCGTGGAGATCCTTAGAAAGATCAATCTCTTCGGCGGTCCAGAAGGAGGCCTCAGCCTTCTTGTACATTTGCCAGATCTGATATCAAAGACAAATATTAGTATATGGCGTTGGTCGCGGGCGGTCAGGGCTAATGAAAAAAATCCACTTTACGCGTGACGCGTAGTAGACGTGCGCTACTCACCTCATGATACTTGATGGGGAACAGAACAAAACGATGAGGGTTCTCTTGGAGAAGGGGCTCGTTCGCTTCCATTTCCTTGATGCTAGCAATCTTGGATGAGAGTTCGGTAGGCTTTTCAACAATGGTCTTGCTGGCGGGCACGTCGGTGACCTGGAGAGACGAAGGAGCGTTCTCCTTGCCTGCGGCTTCGAAATTGAGCTTCTTGACAGGCGAGTCGCTCATCTTGAGATTCTCGAAGGAGGATGCAGCCTGTCAAACGGGTGTGGTTAGCTCATACTATCCTGCAGACGCGTCAACCCTGGGGGGCGAGACGTGACATCACGTACCTGCTTGGAGGGAGTGACCTGCGCGGACATTATGTAGTAATGTCTAGATGTCTTCAATGGAATATATGAGAAAGATTAAAGACACAGACTCAGAAACGCTCCAATAATTTTGGTTGAGGAATTGGGATGAGGAAAAAAGAGCTGCAGAAGAGGAGGGCACGCCGACAGAAATACTTGCTTTGGACGAGGGCGTGATCCTTAGCGCGACGGGCTAAGTCACGTCGCACGTGACTTGGCGCGCCTCTGAGCCGATGGCTGGCGGGTATCCAGTGTTATGGACGACGCGTCTACACGCTTCATTGCGTTTTTCGTGCCTTGCCTACCCATCCATTTGGGTCAGACCACTGGCTTTTTCTCCCCTCCGGTGATTTAAATATCCACTGTTTAAGCCTTTTAGGGTTACATCTCCACATACCTGAAAATGGTTGCCATCTAGAACGCCGAATGTGGTCATGTCGTTGTTCACTCGTCAGGGTTTTTTATCTTATCTGATGCGATCAAATCTCCAAGTCGATCTACTTCAACTAGTCGCACTACGTAGTTATCACTAAGTGCCCCATACAAAATTGCATCAATTTGCCTTTAGCAAGGGTTGTAAAAGAACATCATAAGTTACAGTCATTCCCAATGCTACTTCTTTGTACTACACACCCTCTTGAACTGTTGACTCGCGTCAGCTAGTGAGCGTCATAACACATTCAATTAATCCACAAGCCATCTCACACTATACTACATTGAGCAAAGTCTGCAGCTCAGATCTCTTCCTGAAAGTCGCTTAATTGACCATTGGGATTGCTCGAGCGAATGGAGATCTGCAGGTACAGAATGCCTAAGGCTTGGAAGAGCTGGCACGCGACGCGAGTGGACAGTTTCGGTCAGCATCTGCATTGGCACTCCCAGGCCGCAGCTTCAGCCTAGTTCGGCATGCGGCGCGGGTTTACGGCTTTACAATCTTGATAGTATGGAGTTCCTTACATCTACTATTTCCGGATTAAGGAATTCTACTCCGTAGGAGTGGGACTATTTTTTTGTCATGCTTGGGTGTACTTTAGTAATCTTCAATGACGTTAACTCTAGGCTGATCCAGACGCGGTAACGCGACTGTGGCCTCCCCATGTTCTCTCCAACTTGTGTATTATACAAAATAAAGCCTATTTATGGAGCGTATGTTCTATACTTTAGCTTCTTGTATAATCTCGATATAATATTATGTCCAACATCTTGCCTTTTCGTTTTAAGAAGTCATCATTTCGCAAAACCAACGTGACAGTAGACCACTAGCTCATCAGACCCACGCGCGCGTTAACTGACACCGCGTGCCGTCAAGCTGCATACCTGCCAACATACCTTCTAGCCAGGTGTTCTAGGCATCTTCGACACCACCATTCGAATGCAAAGAAGATTATCGTGGTACATAAGTTAGTGTGAAACAATTCCGATACCCATCTAAACGTTTTTGGCTCCTATATACAGAATCTAAAAGGTAATATGACTTGTGGGACCTGAGTCAACGCCTTCTATATACATATCCTAGTGAGTCAACGCTCGCTGAATGAGGTCTAATCACCCCAGGTGCTAAAAAAGACTAAACAACTACCACCTTATTATGTGCCCTTACAAATATGTCGTAGGAATCTGTAGACCCATCACAGTGCTTCTTTCATCGAGTCAGAAAGAAATCGATCCTCAACTCTGCGCATGAGCTTGTTGGTCTGCTCGGCCAAGCTGAGGGTCAAGATCTATATCGAGTCAGCGGACTGAACCTGGCCAGCTAGCCCAGTGTTGATTGTTACTTACAGTGTGAGGCAATATACGGGCCAAATGAGCGAAATAGCCCTTGTAAATAGCAAGCAAACCCTCTTTACGGACGGTCTGGAATAAACAGTCCAATGCGCCCTTGTAGAGATTACCGGTCTGGTTATACATTCTCGACATGATAGTGTCTGGATAAACACGTCAGCAGGATAACATTGTTGTTAGGAGATCATTACGTACCAGGAGGATGCATGACGCAGCATACGACAAACCCAGAGGCCGTACTACTGGCAAGATGAAGAGCGGGGCCATCTTCCATTCCCAGATGCTTGACCAGGCGACGCTTGGCAAAGAAGTAGGTGGGCAGCTGGACAGAGCTACCAAAACCTGTCCGGACCATGGCTGCATTAACACCACGGTATAGCCCGCCTACTCCCTCAGAAGTGTAGATCTTCCGTAGTCCATCGAACGAGTTGCGGTAGTTGTGTTGCGTACCAACGGGAAGGAACGGCGAGAAAGATTGCAGACGAGTTTTGACAAGGAAAAACGGAGAACCTGCAGCAGCACCGATGATACCTGAGGCAGCACCGGCAAAGACATTGATACCCAATGACTGGACTTGGGCATCTTGATAGATCGATGTTGTGAGAGTTTTGCGCAGGGGCTCGTAGAATCCTAGACGGCAGCCATTGAGTAGCACTTGATAGATGTACTAAATCGACAGTCAGCTTGCCGTTTCTCTCGTCTTTCCAAACTCGAGCGTAACACGTACAGCGGAACCGATGCCTCGGAACAGCCCACGGGGGCCCTCATTCTGTAAGATGACCTTGACACCGTGGAAAACACCCTTGTATTTCTTGACCGCTTCGGATTTTGTTTGTAGTTCTCCCTGTAGTTGTAGTCTGCCAGCCGAACAACATCAGTGTCTGTCCCGAGATGATCTCGCACGTCAGGATCAGAAAACAAGGCGCATACCGGATCTTGACTGTTTCAAAACTATGGGTCACTGTGACAGCTCCACATGCTGCGACGCCTCCTGCGATGAACGCTCTGGAAAGCGGAGTGTTAGCAGATGTAGATCCTGGCTTACTGCGTTATACGAGTACCACGCACCCTGTTGTTGTCGACATGTTTCTCTGACGGATAGCCTCCGTAAGCGGAGGGGCGCTAAGGGTATCCGCGGGGACTTGATGCTGAGTCTAGGTTGGGATCGAGGACAGACAACCCATACAAGGGACCACAAAGACTTGCGGGGAGAATACAAGTAAAAGATTAGCAGATAGTTTTTTGAAGGTTGAAGAAACAGCGAAAGTCAGATAAGCCAGGGCGCCATTGATCTTCCCGTAAGAATTCCATAAAATCCACTCTAAGCTTTGCCGCTTGGGATTCTGGGATCGCTGATTGGCTCAAAACGCCAGTTCCTGCCAACGGGACTCCGACCATCGGGGCTAAACCGACCAAGCGGACCAGTAGGCGCGCCGACACTAACCGCCGGTCTGGAACAACGTTGTTGCCCTCGGAGTTAAGACAAACGCGCCAAATTTCCTGGGGCAATCGCGTGCTCCATACAGAAGCTCAAGCTCCGCAGCTCAGGAATAACCCGAAGAAGATATCAACAACCCTGACGGATTGTGTCAGAGGCTGGACTGTTAAGGTCAATTTGGCCTAATTCACGACTAACCAAGTTGTCCATCGCACCGCACTGTCATAACCATGGCGGAAGTTCAGCAACAGCAGCAACCGCCGCCTCCCCCGCCGCCGCAATCACAATCGCAGCAGCAGACCCCTCTTCTGTGCCAGAAAGTGTCGGACATTGTTCGTAGCTTTCGTCCCACAAAGGTCGGTATACAGACATATTTAGCGTTAATGCGATTGGTGTCATTGACTCCTCAACTCTAGGCATTCAAGCCATCGAAGCAAGACTCGCCCAACTACGTGACCTCATTAGATTTCGACGACCAAGGCGATTACCTGGTGTCCTCAGGGGACGATGAGACCATCCAAATTTTTGACATTAAGGAAGGAAAACCTACGAAGTCGGTCCCTAGTAAAAAATATGGAGCTCATTTAGCAAGATTCACGCATCATTCCCGCCAGGTCCTCCACGCAAGCACAAAGGTCGATGGTATGTTGCATCTTGCCGTGTGTCTCCATGCTCCTGATGACTTTTTGCTGATACCGGCCAGACTCGTTGCGATTGCTTGATCTACATAATGAAGGATACGTGCGTTATTTTTCCGGCCATACGGAGAAAGTGACATCTCTGGCCGTCTCGCCAGGCAGTGATTCGTTTGTCTCATGTTCCAAGGATAATACTGTCGCGATATGGGACCTCAGTTCGAGAAATGCGCAGGGTAAATTAAAGCTTGCCACCCCGTACCTTGCTGCATTTGACCCCTCTGCTTCTGTTATCGCCATTGCGTCCCAGTCAACCTCATCGGTTCTACTCTACGATTTCCGGAATTACGACAAGTCTCCCTTTTCTACCTTTGACCTTGCGCCTTACGAAGAAAGATACACGCCTTCTACAAGAGGAAGAGCGTGGACCCGCCTCGAATTCTCAAATGACGGGAAGCACTTGCTGGTCGGAACAGATTACCATGGACATTTTGTCCTCGACGCCTTTGAAGGCACTATGAAAGCATTCTTGGTTGGCAAGAATGGCTCGCCTGGTAGAGCTGCCCCGGTTTCAACGACGGGTAAGCCTCTTGGCCAGGGAGACGCGTGCTTTACCCCGGACGGACGATTTGTTCTTGGAGGCTCGGGTGACAATCCGGACATTCTTGCCTGGGACCTGCAACAGCCACCAGACTCCAATAACGTTCTACAGCCAATGTGCAAGTTGCCTCACCGTGGCCGGACTGCTTTGATCGAGTACAACCCGCGGTACAACATGATGGCTACTGCTGATAAAGATATCGTCTTCTGGTTGCCAGAAGAGGGTTCTAGAGCCCCTGAGAAGTAATACTAGGCTGCAATAACTCCGGAACATCGGACGGAGGTCACTGGATTCAAGAGTTTGACTTTGCGACAGCCTCCATGCCTGCTCTGCAAGTGGAACAGCAAACTTGTTAGGGGTGGTGTCGATCTGCTGATAACGCCTGATACCGCCCCTATCAAGCCATTCTTCTGTATTTTATCTGGTCCAACAAACGATTCTCTAGCTTTTCCGGCCTTTCTCTTTCCCTATCAAGCTCCTGGCTGTATCGCATACCCAAACCTGCGGCCCCTCCAAGTCTTCGTCACCATCCCTATGCTGTTCAATGATTGCCTCGATCTGTTTAACCACAGTGCGATTGCTCGATATGGTCGTCATGCCAGTCACCCAGCCATAAAAGAACACGCTGTGGTTAATATTAGACAAAATCTCTGCCACTTTGTGGAAGACTGGAGGAAGTTTGCCTTGTTCCGTTGCCGAATCGATCAAAGACTTGGCTTTGACTGTCTTAACAGGCATCTTTAATTGTGGAGGTATTTCATAATCAGACAGTTCCTGGAACCCTTGAATGGCAGATTTGGTCTCTTGACTTTCGGATGGGGTGTCGCCGAATAATATTTCCGTTCGTCTCTTCTCGGTGTCGGTACCAATGGTATTCACGATCTCACGCATACGTCTTGCGGCCTCGTCGGTGCACACTAAATCACGTCCTTCCATTGCTGGCCAAAGCTCTGTGGTCAGCAATGGCCGTTCACGTTCGAACTCGAGCTGTCGGATGATGGCTCTATGATACTCTGGCGAAGGCTCTATATTTTTAAGGTGCGAGACATCCGATACCAACGCGAGCAACAATGTACAATCCACGTTCAAAGTGGAAGTGAAGCTTTTGAATGGTGTGGGTAGAAGATGGTGTAGATGCCCTTCAGCAGTTGCACTCGTGACATCGTCGCCGTTACCACCGACCCCGGAAGACAGCGCACCCTCACCACACTCGACCGTGATACCATAGTTTCGTAATACCTTCAATAGATCATCAATCTCGCGGCTCTCGCCTTCTTCAATCTTTGGTATCACTAGTCTTAGACGAGGATGCCTATACCTCACCCTCGTGCAATTGGCAGCCTTCCTCATATCACTCGCCAACTTTACCAACTCAATCTCGTCCTCATCCTCATCATCAGACCCACCATCATCGTCAAAATTCCGTAAAACAGTCCTCTCTTCCTCCCCCGATTCAGCATCCGAATCGGCCTCCCACCCCTTCTTAGCCATCTCAAACAACAGCCTCGTCTCCGAAATCGTAGAAACCTTCACCCACTCTAGCCCATCATCCGCCACAATATCCACAAAGACACTCTTCCGCTTATCTCTATTCGACTTCTTCTTCTTTTCCTCATCTTCGCCCACCCCCTCCCCATCCCAGTAAAACCTCTTCCCGAACGCAACCAACCCGGTACAACTTCTGCGAGCGATATCCCAAACAGTCTCATAGAACGGCAAATTCGACGACCGCAGCGCATGCATCAGTCTCGGCTCAACCTCCTCCTCTTCACCGTCAGCTGCCGCATCTGCAAGCGCGCGAAGTTGCCCAATCACTTTCTCAAGAGTCCGCAGTTCGGAGACCACATTGGAGCGTAGAGATCGGACCTCGACTAGTTGGGGGTTGCGCTGCGTTTTCTCCAGAAGGTCACGGAAGGCGTCTAGTTCGCCGATGAGGTCTCGGCATCTTTCCACGAGAGAGAGGGCGATGGCTTGGCTTCTTTCGTAGTTTTCCGGAGTGGGGGAGGAAGAAGCATCGTTGGTCATTGTTGAGTGGGATAGGTGTTTTTGTCCAATTGGTTGAGTTCTTTGTTGTTTGTTTGTATCTATGTACCCTTGTGTCACTCTTCTGGGGCGGTCACGTGCATATTGCCTTTTTTTGGGTTACCCCGCGTGTGGGGGAGATTAATGGTGCATAACTATAGCCCTAGGATTCCCAGCATAGCTCAACGAACCCATGTGCTGCACAGCTCTATTGTTGGAAAAACAATCTCCATCGTCCATTTACAGGTATACCCCTTGACGGAGTCATACATATACTAAATCTACCTTGACAGGAGCTTCGGTCTATCTGTCCAACTTAATATATAGCCATTCCCCTCCCACAGGAGCCCTGTACAGCCTCTCTGTAAGCTGTGTGAACTTCACTTGTTTCATGCCCACTCCCAGACCCACTAAAGCATCTTTAAGGGCATAGATATCTGTGCCAGGTCTCAGGATCAATGAGTCTCCGGCGCCCCCATCACGGCTGACAAAAATACTCAAAGGAGACAGGAGGAGTCTGACTGTCGGCGTATCCCGACTGTCAAATGCCCAGGAGATAGGAGTTCCCCCTTTATTGTCCTTTACAAATGGGTCAGCACCTTTTTTCAAAAGGAGATCGACTACTGCCGAGTAGCCATTCTTTGCCGCCCAAGATAGAGGTGTTTGACCATCTTTATCCTTCGACTCCAGGTTGACGTTCTTCTCTAGGTGAAGTCTGACCACTTCGTCATGGCCTTCCGCTGCGGCCCAAGATAGTGACGACTTACCGTCGCGATCCACAATGCTTGGATCAGCACAGTTGTCGAGAAGAAGCTTAACCATGGCCTTACATCCTTGCCCTGCGGCCCGTGACAGCGGCGTCCGATCGTGTTTATCCCTAGTATTTGGGTCTGCACCCTTCTCTAAAAGGAGCTTGGCACAAAGCTCATTGCCCCTTCTTATTGCCCATGACAATGGAGTTTCACCATTGGCGTCTGCAGTGTTTGCTTGGCTGCTAGTTTCAATCAAGCCCTGCAAGACATCTTCCAAACCGAAGTATACCGCCAGGTGAGACCCCGTTATATGCAGAGGAGCAGAGGATGTGCACCAGAACTCTTCCTCTCTGATTGCCAACGCTTGGCCGCATGCAGCGGATTTTGTCTCATCTCGCAGAAGGCTCAGGACCAGTTCATGGCTTCCTTGCTCTATATAGCAATGCGTTGCCCAGTATCGAGCTGAATAGGTGTAGAGCGGATACTGTTTTAGAAATGCCTCGAAATCTCCCATAAGTGCAACGCGGGAGAATCCAAAAAGTTGCTCCATACTTAGGGTTTGTTGGAACTCAGTTTTGTAGATATCAAATGAGAGGTACGTGATGCAGGTTGCGGCTATTTTACTATGGGCGTCAGGGAACCAATCCATCCAGGTTTGCTCAAAGTATGTTTGCGCGGTGTGGTGTACTAGTCGAACGATGCCGCCTCGCGTATCAGTGGTGACCAGGCCTGCACATACAGAGATCATATCCTCGACTTCGGGAAAATTGTCCTGATCGAGGTACGATTCGCCGATTTCGACGGCAAGAGCATGTTGGAGCTGCAATACAGTCAACTGTTGTTTCGCACATACAACCCATGACAGGACTTGTTTAGCCAATTCAACCTGGTCGGTCACCTGTCCTTCGATCCGGCTCATCGCATTCCTATATGCCGAGCTAACAGCATTGGTTCCTGTGGGAAGTTGTTTCAGGGCGTTTCGGAGAGCCCTAGGCGACATTTTTCCGACCAATGAGTCGAGATGAAGTTGGGCTAGAAGAAACCTGGGCGTGCATTAGCATGGATTTTTCTTAGCTTCTATTGAAGTTACTGACATTCCATCCACAGCTTCTGTGATTTCTGTAACGATCTCATTCTGAAGTCCTGCATCTCGTGAAACAAACCTAGGAAGGCGCCCTAGGTGGTCCCTTAGATATCTCTGTACGTCTTCGCTTCGCGCCCTTATTTCTAGCGTAGGCATTCCCTTGAACCGGTCACTGACCTCTGGGATGGGTCTTGAAGTGGCCAAGAGACTTGCATGAGATTGGGCTTGAAGATTGAAGATAGTGGGCAGAATGCTGTCGCGCGACTCGATAGCGGATTGACATTCGTCCAGTGCATCGATGACAATAAACAACTTCTTATACGCGCTAGCGATAGTGTGTAAGCATCTTGATATTTCCTCTGGCGGCGGCCGTGTCCCGTGTTTATAGTGATCGTCGTATAGGTCTTTCAAATCATTTGGTATAGATTGTTGTCTCTGTACCAACTGTTTCAACAGGGTAGAGAGTAACTGGTCCATGGTCCACTCATCCTTGAACTTGAAGTAGATAAACACAATGCCGATCTCTCTGTCATTTCCGTAGCGTTTGTAAAGTTCGTCTATGACCAAGGACATAAGGGTAGTTTTGCCCGCTCCAGGGATACCGGGGCAGAACAATGTCTGTTCTGGCTTCTCAAGCCATGTCCTGAAGTGATTGGAGTCTATCAACCACTGCCCAGTCCCAGGCTGGCTTCGACTCAGATAATCACTCTGTTGCGCAGTATAGTTTCTCGGAGAGAGCCAGTCCAGAATCTCCTGGCGCTCCCTATCATCCTGGCGCTGTAATAGCCCAGCGACATTACCCCGGGTAATGCGTCCATTGAAGGCATTGAGGAGACTAATGTTACTGCTGATGCGGGTCCGGAGGTCTTGAATATCCTCTGGCTCCCATTTCAATCGTTTCCACACCCGTACAACTTTACGCAGGCCGGTGGTGTGGTCAGATTCCAGCACCCTGTAGATGTTGATTTCCTCGTAAATCTCATCTAGGACGCAGCGGCAGCTATCTGCGATTGCTTGCAGTTCGGCCTTCTGGCTGTCGCTGAGTTCTTTGCCAGACAAGTCGACTTCGACATCTTGCAGTACGAACGAGAGGCTCCGGACTCTGTAGGATCCCGGTTAGTACCCATGATCCCTTTAAACGTGTTTCCACTACGGTGAGGGAACTGTACTCATCATTAATAGCCTTGAATTGGGATGGCGCACCAGCGAATTCTTTCCGGATTTTGTTGGCAAGTTCAATGACTGTAAGGAAGTCACCGATGCTGAACCCGAAACTCATTTCTGGGTGACAGTATGCGAGTATGTATTGGCGTTAGTGACGAGCCAGTCAGTTCTTATCGAGCTATGTTGGGGATGGCGCCGGATTTAAAGAGAAGCGCGAATGATGTCAGCCTTGTGAGGCTCTTGGTGGGGGTTAGGCTAAAAACAAGGAAGCCTTATTATGGGCGATAGTGTTCAGACTGACTAAGTTTGAAACCAAGATATAATCTTTAAAAGGGGTTGGGATAAACTGATCACCATGGGAGCATCCTGCTTCCTGTGGACCTCTCCGCAGATCATCAATGAATTTACATGCATGTACCGCCCTCACATTCTGTCTGGTACTGCCCTCTCAGGAGCATCAACCATCGCATAGTCTCCGCGTTCAGACAGTGTCTTCGAAGACCCAAGACATCTCTAGCGCTGCTGAACTCGCGTTCAATACCGACCTCTGCCGAAGGTATGGGTAGATAGTCGCGAGCAGCTTTTGCCATGAGTGGAAAATTGAACGCGTTAGCCTTCCACCATTTGAGGACCCATTCTGTGTCTGCATCGCCGATCATATGGTGGGACCAGTTGACCGGCGGGGAATCCAAATACTTATCAATATCCGACAGAGAGGTCTCTTTGGATGGCTGGTCTTTGCGCAGAGTCCTCCACATTGTTTCTGACATCCCCGGTGGACGTGGTAGGTCAACTTCCCGGGAAACCAATGGCTCTGGGGGGGTACTCCTTTTTTAAGAAATCTCGTACTTGAGAAACGATAAACCCTGAATCCTGTTCGCTCATCTGAGACACAATCAAAGACGACTTGATACGCGGATCCAGAACCGAAGCCACATAGTAAAGAAGGTTGTCGTCCATTTTTCTAGCAAACTTGTTCATCTTTCGAATCCCTCCTTGAAACGGAGTTTGTGTGATCCCAGAACGGCTTGAGAGTCTTAGCTACTTGCTGAAGTGTCGACCACTCGTCTTCGGTAAGCTGAAGAGCCTGAACTTCTGGATGTATCCGAACAAATTGTCCAAGCTGAGTTTGCAGCCGAAGTGCATCCTGAATCATGATATAAGTCGAATTCCATCGGGTATCAACGTCATAACTGACTTGCTTGCCGGGTGACACTTCTTTCCAACCTTGGCGGCGCTGTTGGCTCCGGGCAATCTATAGCGTCAGGAGCCGGACTTTCATAATAGCTCCTTTTGTGCTGTGAAGGGAGTTGAATACTGCACTAGAATTGATGGCTATGTCGTCCAGTATCGCCTTTGCTTCTCGAGCCGAATTACTTCTTAAAGAAGCTAACACATCTCTATAAATCAGATTGAGGATATGGGCAAGGCAGGGAATGAAGATCTGCGTCCACGGAACCGTATTAGAGGTCTAATGCGAAAGTAGCCATCGTCATTATTATACTTCTTGCGGAGCTGATCGTGCAGGCTATCGTATAGCGTCCCATTATTGCCTGCATTGTCCCCTGTGATAGTCAGGAGCTTTGGCGCGATGGCCAGTTCGTCAAGCATATTCAACACAACGTCCGCTAGATTCTCTCCAGAATGTGGTCCATTGATTTCGGTGAACTCGGGAAGTTCATCTCGCTTGTCAAACTCGGGAGAGATCCAATGACCAATGATACCCATGATCGGAATCTGATTTTCCGACGTCCAAACGTCAAGGGACAAAGCCAGTGTCCGGCTACTCCTCGCAAGCTCCTCTTTCACGGAAGCCCTACTTGAATGGAATTCCTCCTTGATTCGGTTGAAGAGGTGACCAAAGGCGGGAGAACAAGTGGACGATGCGCCTGACTTGCTGGGATCACAAGCATGCAACAACCGTTGGAAGCTGGTGTTGTTACCTGAGGTATTAGCGAAGCGGGTCTCTTGGACCGAAATTGAAGGCCTTAAAGGCAAATGAATTAGAACTTCTTTCATAGCAGCCCAACAAAGTAGGCGTTCATGATTGGCCCACATGCGGGGAAAATGCCACTTACTAGTATCAGTTAGTACTACTTAGTAGTAGTAGTTACTACGGTGGACTAAATCGAGCTAACGGACAATGTAAAATATTACCAACTTGACAAATACCAACGCACTTTAAATTAACCAATTAGATCTATTTATTAGGCCCATGATATATTTCAACCAATTATATACTCTAAATCAATTCTATACAAGCACTCCTACTACTACTAGTGGTATTACTGTAGCATTCATTATTCTCCCCTTGCAAGTGCCGCTGCTTTACGAAGGCCTCACGTGATAACATACGGATCGCTCACGAATTGACCCGGGCACGTCAGCTAACACTCCAGGACACACACCAGATAAATGCTCACTCATCGTGCTCCCGGAGTCCTTCTGGGAAAGCTGTTTATTCTGTACCTATACTTTAGGACCGGAATAGTCTGTCTACTCTTAACTGAAGCAATCTTCAAATGAACAACCCCATCTCTACATAAATACTTGGATTGATATTGGACAAGAAACTCATTGACCGGAATACTTATGGAAACATGGAAATTATGGCACTGCACTACAGTACCTGTTGGGTTATAAGCCATCACATCCTATACAACTCTGGCATATCTATGTATTGTAGTCGGACCAGACGTGCCCATGTTCATCAGGATTCAGTGGCCATGACCTTGAACCTCTCTAGCATCTCGTTCAACTTTCTTCTCTTCTGCTTCCTGCCACCTGGCCCGTATTTTTGCACGTAGCTGTTGAGGCGTTTGCCCCGCAGCATTTGGTTGGCCCATCAAATCAACCTTGCCAGCTTCCTGTAGGGCCGCCGTGATCTCGTCCTGCGCTGCTATCTTTTGTGCCAGTGTTACATTCTTTCCGTAGAAGTACGGACGTTTCATAAGGTTATGAAGAGGTGTATTTCCTTCTGAATCTTGAGTAGTTGCGTCCGCCCCAAGTTTAAGAAGATACTCGACTGCCTGGGTCTGTCGCAAACTCATTGATATTATGTGGAGAGCGGTGGCACCGGATTTATCGGTCTGGTGGATGTCGAGACCATGTGCAATCAATAGGTCTATGACAGCCGTGTCAATAGGATCACATTCTGGAGATCGTCGAGCCAACCAATGTAAAGCTGTTTGTCCCTTATAGTCCGATATACTCGCATCGGCACCATTTTCACATAGGTATTGAACAATATCCTTTAATCCTTTTCTGTTGCCGTTTGTGTAGTTAATGACGACATAATGCAAGGCTGTACGCCCATAATTATCCTGCGCATTGATAGTCCTCGGATTGGCAGCCAACAATATCTTGAAGATACCAACATTTCTAGGGGCAATGTCGTCTTCTCTGACATATTTCTCAAGTTCCAGCTTGTCATCACCTATAGCTGCCCAGTGCAATGGTAACCTTCCAAAACTATCACGAGCAGAAACCATTTCCGCAATTTTCGCATCGCCTAGATGATCTAGCAGTGCCTTGACCCCCTCTATATTCCAATAAATACTCCCATAGTGAAGTGCGGTGACATCCCGGAGATCAACGTCAAACCAAAATCTACTGTCCGTATGCTCCTCTCTTGCATAAATATTTGCTCCTTGTTCAATGAGACGTTTCACTAGCATGTAGCTAGCTCTAGAAATGGCCAGGCTGAGAACAGTGTCGCGCGGTTGCGGTGGGAGATGAGCGTTATATTCGTTCTGGTCCATAGTGACATCGTTGACTGAGGCACCCCTATCGAGAAGCATATACATCAATTCTTCGCTTCGGACTAGGCGCTCTTTAATCTGGTCGCTGGTCACCTCTCCCGGCCATGTAAAAGACTCTGCCGCGCTCAGGAGGGCTGTTTCACCCCCGGGGCTTTTGTCGTGAATGTTCCCCAACGGAGGCTGACTGTCCAGTAGAAACTGTGCTGTTTCCAGCTGCGAAAACTTGCAGGCAACATTTAACAAAACAATATCTCGTCTCTCAAGTGGTACTGCTTTATCCAAGTTGGCATGGTAATAAGCCAGCAGCACGCGGAGAGCGTCAATACATCCATACTGCGTAGCCACAAAAAACACGTCAGGGTAATAATACGCTGGTTCTGGTTCCAGCCCAGTATTCGGATATTGCCCAATGTATTGCTTCAGTGTTTCAACATCATTACGACGGATTATCTCTTCCCGGAGGACTTTCTCTTCAGTCTCGTACATAATTGATCCATCCGTGTCACGAAGTCCTGAGTCCCGGGGTTCCCCCACAACTTGAGGTGAATATGGACTGTGGAACTGGCCGTACGACATTATTTCTCGTAGTATGGTTGGATGGATGAAGTAGAAAATGGAAAGGGAAGAAAAGAGTTGGAAATGAAATGGGAAAGGTACGGAAGGGTTATGAGTATTTATATCTAGAGTGAATTCCCCAGGCACAGGTCCCGCCTCAGATCCAGTACTGTACGGTACCGTACGATACGTCATATATACACAGAAACGAGAGAGATATTTACTGCGGGAAATTGGCTGGAGTAGAACCATCTGGCAGCCAATTCTCATCATACGCTCCTTCTCGAGGGTTGTGCTCCCTGGTGGCTGGAAATGACTCAGAAACCGACCACTCACCATCACCACCGTATGGGTGTGTAGGGTCCTCAAGGATTGGGTATAGTCGCCCCAACTGATGCACCGAGAAAATTCCTTGGTTCCACATCCACATGCCAAAGCGATCGAGTAACTCCGCGTAACCAAAGGGTTGACGAGTGCCGCCTTGCCTAGCTATCCCAATTTCCCTTTCACGGCCAACCCCTATATACCATCGGCCGCGAACACCCCGGCCGCGAACACCCTGGTCCCTCTGTGGGATGGGACACTGCAAGACATGTGTGCGTGCATTATAATTTTGCATCACTCCGGTATTGATGTTCCCAGTCGGATCGTAACTGGTGGAATAACGGAATTCAGCCCTTTGATCAGCTCTGCGGCCATGGGTCACAACCCCGGGCCGCGTAACAGTTTGACTGTGGTAGACGTCGATTGTGGTGACGCCTGGGTGCCATTGAGTCGGCCGGTTTGAGTCGCTGGTACCGGTATAAAAGACCCGACCATCGATTTGGAAGTGAAGATGGAAAATGATCCAACGATCGGTTGCTGCCGTATGACTGGTGTCGATATACTGGCTGCGCAGTTGATTGCTGGGAGTAACGCCCGGCGTAGGGCCAATCCAGAATGCTAATTCTAGAATGTCCCTACCTCCTGCGCGGAGCCAGCGGCAGTAATGAAGGCTCAGTTCACCCTGGGAACAGTTGAGAGTCAGTGAGGATAAGGTGAAAAGGATGATAAGAGATACTCACATTTAGAATACCATTGAGGATCAACGAAATGCCAGGCTCCTCGCCGTTCTCGGAGCGGTCATCCATACTTAGCACGGTGACTCTTCGGGCAGACAGTGAGGACGAGTCATCATTACTCTCACACAAGAGGGAGGCAGCAGTCTGGATATTTTCCAGCCCATTGGCTGATTCCTTCAGGTTGCAGAGATATCCAGCCATCAAGGAGTTAACATCCGTGATCGGCCCTCCGCTCCAGCTGTCACCAACTCCGTACCCGAAAATGACCCCTTGTAAATCGGTCAGATTACCGGCACTGCTTTGGTATCCAAACGTGGCAAAACAGGAGTTGATGATGTCTGTCAGGTCCTGCCGAGGGAACTGGGATGTAGCCCATGCCGCCAGGATAGGCACCAGGAATGTCAGGACAACGCCCTCATCAGTGATGGGCTTTTTATCCCGCGTGACCAGGCTAGAGCTGTAAGTGTAGCTATACTCAGAATCCCAGCCGCTTGGACAAACTGGATTCATAAGGAACATCGTGAGGTAGGCATCGAGCTCTCTGGCCGTCTGGTCTTGGTAGGTGGTGGGCGGATCTCCCCGCGGCGTGTTGGTCTTCTTCATCTTACCTTTGCAACAGTATGCCTCACGACCGAACAAGCAGTCTGATGTTTGTGCCGTTTTATCGCTCCCCATAAATATGGAAATATCCTCTTCAGCGATGCGAATCGACCCGGCCGGGCAGTGGGTGCTGCAGTACTTATCATTTGTAAAAGTAACCCCATGACCATGCCACTCGCAATCAGTGAACACATCCGGAGGAGCAGTGTCTCCCTGGCAGCAGTAGTTGTAATTTTTCCCTCCGTTGCACGACTTCTGTCCGCCCCAGCCATCGCGCGAGCCCACCACAAAGTTAGGATAGCCAGCCGGACAGGTGAGATCACCGTGGCAACTCTCAGTCCACGTACATTTTGTCCAGGGACGAACAGAGTCTGTGATTGTACAGCATGCGGACTGATAACCGGACTTGCAACCTGCGCCAACGGTTCCGATCTCAGCCTCGTCGCTATTACAACCACCCTTGCACTTGCCATTGTTATGGAAGCCTCGCCACTGACATGTAGGAACCTCTGTGGAAGTAGGACAGCAGAGCGTTTGTGTTTGATGCTTGCCTGATGGACAAGTTGTCGAGTCTAACATAAGATCCTTCTTCTTATCGGCACGGGTGACCTCAGTGAAACCACTGGGACAGACCTCACCGCAGTTGATGAAGCGGCAGTACTGGTCCTGGCCCTTGTCACTACTGCTGCTTGTTGACTTCCTCTCGCCGAAACTATGACCAGTCAGACCGGTGGTGGTGTCCAAGTTAATCTCATTTCCGAGCGCCGCCGCTAGCCCGTGGGAGAAAGTGTAATTACTGTCGTCATTGTCAATAGACCAGACTAAGACGCCCCCAAGACACTCAGACTTGGCGAATTCAGCTTTGAGTCTCCATGTATCCTCGTCGTCGTATGAAACCCACTGGTCATTGTCCCATGTAAGGGTCTTAACAGCTGCGTCCTTGTACAGGGTTGGCGTAACGTCGTTGTCGCGAATGATCTGTTGAATTTCATTGTTAAAGAGGACACCAGCAGTATTACTACATGCTCTCTTGTCACCGGCTGAAAGATATGAGCAGCCCGGTTCAGTACACGAAGGGCTGGCTAGAGTGACACTACGGCCATAGAAAGCCATTCCCATATTCACCTTAGAGGGCTTGATGTCATTCCGCCAGAGTAGATCGAGAGCTGTCTTGATTTCGGTTAGGTTGGTATGTGCATCTAGGTAGGCCCCTGTCCACTTGTTGCCCATGTCCCATGTGCCGTGAAGGTCGTAGCTCATAAAATTGAACCAGTCAACCGATTTATCCAGCGATTCTAGGTCAAAATGCTGCAAGTACCAGTAGCTGGTGGGTAGAGTGACGGAAAGGCCGAACTGGTAGTCAGACAGCGCCTTTTTCAGGTTGGCCATGAACTTGGGGAAGGCTTTATAATCCTGAGGTCGGCCATTACGGTCATCAGCGGCGGGATACTCCCAGTCAATATCGATACCGGTGAAGCCCCATGTGGTCATAAAGTTAGTCAACGATGAGAAGAAAGCATTCTGTTTCTTCGAGTCGGCGTTAACTAAGTCAGAGAAGGTAGTAGCCGTGGGTGTACCAGCATCGGAGAAATCCCAACCGCCGATAGAGAGCCAAAGCTCTTGACCCATGTCGCGGATCTGGAGAGCCTCCAGCTGCGGATAGAGCATTGTATCTCCCTCGGAGGCTGGGATAACCTCAAAGGTGTCCGGATCAATACTAACGAAAGCAAAGTAGAGATGCGAATAGACACCCTGTGGGATAGCCTGAGGGATCATGGCACCGCAGGGGCGGGTAGCAGCAGCCGAGTTATAGTAACCGATGACGCGGGTGATTTGCTGAGAGCTAGCATCGCACGAAGGTCTGGAGACTGTTTTATTCCCACAGAACTCCTCAGTGGTTCCGCAAAAACCGAATTTGCTGCAGCAGACGTTTAACGGACATGTGGTGGCATTGATATATTTGTTATCCCAGTCTCCAGGGTTGCACTCGGCCTTCGCATCACAGTTGTTGATGCATTTATCTTCAGCACAGTAATCCGGTCCAAGACCACAGACATTGTTTTTCCCACAGCATCCTATCTCACAGGGTACATCAGCACTGCAGTATGTATCTGCAATCACCGAGGAAAAGAAACCCAGGCCCGTGAGAAGGACCAAGATGACGGATGACAACATGCGCCCTGGCAGTGGAGCTGTTAGTCTAGAAACCCAATGGATGTCTCTGTCACTCACTGATTTTAAGCCTGGCAGGCTGCTTCCACTTCAAGGTTTTGTAAAAATCAGAAGGTAGAGGGACAGAACAGCTGAGAAGGAAGAAGAAAGAAAGAAAGAAAGGAAGGAAGGAAGACACTTGTATAGATGCCCGGCCCTAATCTACGACCATAACAGGAGGTATCTCCAGGATATTTATCCTTGCCTTGTTAGTAGTGCAAAGACTTTTCGCTGCAGCATTTGATGGAACTTTGATGCTAGCCTTATATGCCATAGTGTGTATAATTGTATAATATGCGCTTGCACTGCACCTATCGTTAGCTCAATCTGCCCCATCTCTGTTGGGTCAAGGTAATTTCCTGCTCTGTAGCGTACTCCGGAGGGTTATGATAATTTCGTACTCTACCTTGAAGCCCATACAACTAGTAAATTGCCTTAACCAGGGTACAGACTCAACTAGGGAAGTCGGTGGACTGCCCCATCGACCTAGACCAAACCCCTGAGCCACGAGTTTACATAATTATTCCTTTTCGGTGTTTGGAAGAGACGGAGCCTCTAATCTATGGACGACGAAATAAATGTGGTCACAACTTTAGCCCCCACGGTTTCTGCTAGAACCCGATGTAGCCGTTGAACAGTACTCTACTCCGTTGAACGATCCGAGATTGCCGTGCACCGAGATGAATTAGGCACAAAGCCAGCAGTTTGTGGAGTTGATAGGGATCGATTTTTGTTAGACCAGGAGATGGGGTTTATGAACACCACTAGTACAGAGTAAGTCTCCGACACTTCCGCGGCCAACGAGAAACTCGCTTGGAGACTTGAAATCATTCCATCAGATATAGAGGGCTCTTCACAAAAGACTACTTGAGTAGCAACCCCTTTACTATGAAGAGAACCCCCTTTTTCTTTCTTATTATTTATTTGTTCTTTGTAGAAATGGCATCTCGTACAGTCGTACTCCGTGCATGCCGCTCTTTCTTTCGCACACAAGCTTTAGCGGCTCTCCGATGTAACCAAACTAGCAGTATAGCACCCGAGACATCTTGATAGCTAGTATTCTGATAGTCGATAGACTAGAGCATCATTCCCCACTTGGCTCATCAAACTTTTTCCCTTGAGGTTGCATTTGCTGCTGTTAAGTGGACTCTCAGTCCTGGTTGGATATATAACTAGCTGAATTGAAATGTCATGTAACATACTAGACTCTGTTGTAAAGCTGCTCTCAGAGTCTTTGTCCACTAAAATACTGTCCCTGTCGATCCACAGAGGGGTCGCAATTTCCGTAAGGTAGTATTTCCGAATATGTCCTTAGAGTCATGACTATACACATGGATATAGCTGTGCTGAACCTGAATCCCTTTGACATCTCCTGATCGAATATTGATCTATCAATATTCCTCTTTCATAATAATCCGTAAACCACGCAAGCTCCACCGTAATCAAACTCAGGTACGAACTATTTTCCTAGTCAACTAGAAAGGAAGGTCACTAAACGAATGCCCTCGGAAATAAATGCCTGATTCTGATTATTGTGTACTATCGCACATGGTTTCCTGCTATACCATTAATGCATGCCATTTCCTGCTGAGAGTGTGTTGTTCCAAATAAGTTCACCTCTGGAGCAACTGCCCTACTTTCTTCCACGAAGCTCACCATGATGATTGTTGGCCGGGAAAGGACCCTTGCAGTTCTTTGGTTTGTCGCCTCTTTCTTCGCTGAAGGTAATGCTTCACACCTGAGATCACACGAGCATCTTCATGCATCCCGACATCTGAGGCAGCGCAATGAGAACGTCAACCCGACTTTTTCTGGGGTTTCCATGTTCCCAGCGGGGTCCCTGTCCTACATGAACCTGATGCCGGATTGTGAGAATGCCCTGTACCAGAAGGTCAACTGTGACGATGCTGTTTCATCGCTGATGACCGATGGGTATGTAAGCAGCTTTGATAACTCCACGCTAACGACCTTGGTGTGCGACGCGGGCTGTGAAGCTGCCATTGCGAAGCTACGTGATACTGTTTCAATCAACTGTGGTGAAATGACCGAACTGGTTCCTGGTCTTCCAATCATAGGTCTTGTGGACCTGCTTTGGAGCAATTGGAATCAGTCCTGCTTTGCTGATCCCAATACTGGGGAAAATTGCAATGGTACGGAGTTTCTACCGCCTTTACACATCATTATTCCTCGTCTTCAATGCTAACTCTAGTTCCAGATGTGATTGATGCTTTTCCTGACGTGGATATGTCTAAGCTTCCAAAATCTGACCTGTGCTCGTACTGTAACGTTAAGAAACTGGCCTTGATGCAGGCTGACGCCTATACGGATGCCTACGATGATAACTGGCAATCCACATATAAATATGTGGCTCAAACCTGTAACATCTCAGTCAGCAATTTCGATTCTACACCGAGTGCGTTCAATGTGACTGTGCCATCTTCCACGTCGGATTGCGTGTCTGGAACTATATATACGACCAAGGAGGGCGACACGTGCGATTCCATTGCGTTAGCACAAAGTGTATCTGCAGCCACGATGTTCTATATTAACCCTAATATCCTCAACTGTTCTTCTATCTGGCCCGGAACCAATCTCTGCCTTCCACAGAAGTGCGACAGCGTCTATGTCGTGCAGCCGGAGGACACGTGCATTGATATTGCTGTTGGTGCCGGAATCCGCACTCAAAACCTCATAGACTACAACTCTCAGCTGACCTGGAACTGCTCAAACCTGCACGCAACCAACCCCTACTGGGGTACGACTCTGTGCGTATCTGCCCCTGGAGGGACATACACGGGCCATGCACCGAACACATCAACATCTACCGGGTCTGAAATTGTCAACCCACCCGCTGGCGCCAAGGTGGCCCCTGGCACCACGACTGACTGTGGGGCGTGGTATATAAACGATGCGGGCCTCACCTGCACTCAAATCTGTCTCATGAATCAGATTGCTATCAACCTCTTCACGGAGGCAAATCCCTCGCTCAACAAGACGACCTGCGATAAAGACCTGGTCCAAGGGAATTCTTACTGTGTTAATCCACTGGATGGTTGGAACTGGGGATCTGGGGCTAATTCCACCACCAGCCCTACACCCACCATCTCAGCGCCGTCTACTCCACCAGCACCAACCCAGACTGGCATCCCTGCTAACTGCAATGCCTTCTACGTTGCTAAGGGTAGGTTCTGAAGCCTCCTAGAGCCTTGTCAACTACATATGAACTAATAATCTTCTAGCTGGTGATGATTGTGGGACTGTTGCAGCCAAGTTTGGTATCACCAAGGACCAATTCCATGAATGGAACCCAGCTATTTCATCGGATTGTTCAAGTGGATTCTGGGCCAAGGAGGCGTACTGTGTGGGTGTATCCGGTACTTCCAGTACACCAATCACAAGCATATCCGCGAGCACACCTACGTCTACCTCAGCGTCTACATTGGTAGTACCTCCTGCTCCAACGCAATCAGGTATTCCTGCGAATTGCGATGCATATTACGTTGCTCAGGGTATGCTCTTCAACGTTCAACCGTAACCCTTTAACCCCTTGACTAACCATGCTCCAGCCGGTGATGACTGTGACACTGTCGCGTCCAAATTCCAGATTACAAAGGCTCAGTTCCACGAATGGAACCCTGCCATATCATCAGACTGTTCTAGTGGCTTCTGGGCCGAGGAGGCATACTGCGTGGGTGTATTCGGCACCAGCAGCGCAACATCCTTACCTACACCCAACCCAGTATCTACCGACTCGGTGGTACCACCTGCTCCGACGCAATCCGGAATCCCCGAAAACTGCTCCAAGTATTACGTTGCACAAGGTATGTTTTGCCTCTTAAGTCCCTTATCATTCTTTCCATCCATCCACCCCCCTTGCCCTATCTCGACCTGTTAATCACTTTAGCAAACCCGAACTGATCATTATGTGCAGCTGGTGATACTTGTGCGACTATTGTAGATAAGTTTGGGATTACCAACGACCAGTTCCATTTATGGAACCCGGCAGTCTCAGTAGACTGTGTGAGCGGGTTTATGGCTGATGAGGCGTACTGCATCGCGCTGTCGTAAAGAGTATTTGTGAGCTACAGTTTAGGATTAACAACCGGTGTTTACTACCCTCAGTATCGATTCTTTGATTTTGAGTTGCTTCGCTTTGCATATCTATCTCTTAGATTCATTATCTAGATGAACTGGTACTCATCCTCCTGTATCTTCCCATAATTGCCAACTTTTCCCCCGAAATTATCATATTGGCCTATGGGCATACTTCGCTTGAGAAATCTGTTTATTGGTAATTTCATATATAGGCTGACTCTACTGAGTAGTTGAGTCTAAAATCTCCTTGGGCTTGGATAATTTTACTGCGACTCTCTACCCGCGTTTATATGACTATGATAGGACTCCGAAAGGAATATGATCATTCATGAAAAAATGAATAATTCATAATTATTCATATAATAAAATACCATACATAGCCATTCATTTCATTACTTCCCAATACATCTACCAAGCTCATCTACGCTGGTCCATACAAGTTACATACGAGACAGTGTGAGGGATCAACGACAGATAGAAATCACTCGGCTGTACCCATGTCCAGCTTCTTCTGCCTTCCGTTTCCTAGCACTACCTGCCTAGGCTTCTTAGGTCACGTTGACAAGTTTGCATCCCCCCCCTGTCACTGCTGAAGACAAGCCTCCCAACCGCCCAAGCCTGCAACACAGCCCCCAAGCCCACCACCCAGCAGCCATTCTCCTTGATCCCCGTGCGAAAATACCACGCGGAACTCGCCCCACAGCAGCGCATTAGTGATGATTGCGATGGCCTTGCTAGTTGGATCTTGGAGGGCCCGGGGGGAGGTTGCGGGACACATTGATAGTGAATGAGGCCTGTGAAGTCAGTTAAATCAACTCTGTTTCTGGGGATAGAGTCAATTTGAATGAGAATCTCAATATACAACAACATACTAGTCATGAGAAGAAAAAAAAGGCGCTTCCCTGAGAATGGCATCGTTAGTATCTACGACCAAGTCTTTGGTTTCCTGCTGCGTAGTAAATACCTGGTACCAGCCAACAAGGTCCACAGACCCATGGCTTCGTGCCTGCAATATGTTTGAATGTCGGCTCGGCGGTCCATTGTTTCCCTCCAATCTATATGGTTGGCTGAGGTTAGCTGCTGGCCTCTCTTGTCTGGTGCAAATTGGAGGGTATCTTTGTTCTGTGGGGTTGTTGGTTGCTATTTATAGCGATGGAGCAGCTGGCATACCGCATGTCCAATGGAAAGGGCGGCAAATGACAAGGTCGAGGCCTGAAGTGGGCGAGAAGATGGTGTCATTGTTGGACGCTATAAGGGCAACACTGGTTTCGAAAACTGTTAGGACCGTTTGAGGCGTGGTGGACGTGGTGCTTTAGCTAGAATATATATAGAGAGGAAATGTTGATGAAGATGTATAGAGTCTTGAAACCAAGTACTGTTAGTGAAATGAATCTCATGATACTACGGAGACCTGTCAGGATGATTGTTTATATAGACCATAGCTCTGGTCCGCGATAACTCCACCATACATTTGATCAGGGTCTGAGCTTGCTGAGATAAATTTGATCGTATAGTATATGAACCAGCCAATCAGCGAGCGTCACAGATGGGTCTTGGAAGACTGAGACGAAAATTTAGCGTGGCTTTTTATTAGTGTCATACTCCATTATGCGGGTCTGACACTTGTAGAATTATATATGACTTGGGGATTGATGCATTATTTAATGATCTAACCCCATGTTCGAAAGCAACCACCCCCCATGTTGCAACGTCTGGAATACGCCATCCGGGTCATACTTTAGCGCAATCTCTTGTAACCGCTTGGCATTCTCCACCCCGTAGCTTGCCAGGGGATCCTGGTCACGCGAAGCATAGTTCGAATACAGGTATGGAAGATACACCCCGGCCTGCTTCGCCTCTGATTCCGCGGCATCGACAATCTTGCGCACAGCCTCTCGAACAAGCTCTTCGTCTTTCGCATTCTTCCAGTCGGCTCTCACAAGGAACCCTAAATGGCGTAGATTAGACCTGAACATGGTGGGTGGAGCTGGGGGAGGAACGTACACTGCTGTCCAACAGGCGTCAAGCCTAGGGGACTTTTGAGGGTCGCTTTCATAGCTGAGGAGGACATTGGTTGGATGACGGTTGTCAAGGTAATGCCCTCGACGTCTTTAAGAACATTGACCTGCTCAGCATGTGCTTTTTCAATAGCCCTGTATACGTCTAGACTAGGCAGGCTGGTCATGGTGCGGAATTCGTGACTATAAGGGTTAGCAGGAATGAGGGAGAGAGGATGGGTTCCGGCCGGCATACAGTGCAGGCTCTGGATCTTGCACAGAATCCACTGCATTCATGAGATCATAGACGGTTCGGATACCTGGGGCCACGAAGCTGGTGACGTAGGGTATATCGTAGAAGGACTGGAAAATAGGAGGATACTCGACGGGCTCGCCGTAAAAAAAGACAACTAGGATAATGTCGTGAGTAGCATTATAGATGAGCGAAGACTTATCGTCATCTTCAATTGCGGCGTGATACTGCATCATGGCTTCGAGGACCTGATCGGTTGCCGTGATTGGGTAGATGCGGACCTCAGACCAGTGCTTGCTTGGGATGGTCGTCATATCTAACTTGGTTACGACCCCTAAATCGTAATTAGAATGCCGAATGTACCTAGAGATAGATGCAGGACATACCAAAGTTGGGCCCACCACCCTTCAGCGCCCAGAACAAGTCTGCATTCTCCTGTGCGTTGGCATTGACGATCTGCGAGTTGGCGAGAACGACCTGCTATAGTTAGCTGTGGCTCAAGTATATTTACATCGCGAACGGAGGGAATTCACCTCGTAGTTACAGATGCCCATCGCACTGACTCCATACTGATGGCTGTGAAAGGAAATCCCCCCTCCGAGTAGCAGACCAGACACGCCTACCGTAGTGACTCGACCACCGGTCACAGCCACCTCGTGCGCATCAAGACCGCGGTATACATCCAACCACTTTAGGCCTGGCCCTAGACTTACCATAGATTTATTCTCAGACAGCTCTAATTGCTTTAGAGCGCTTAGCGATATAACTACACCCCCATTGTTGCTAGTAAATCCCGGGTTTTGCAAATGACCTCCGCTCCTGATGGAGAACTTCACGTTGAAGAAACGACATAATGCCAGAGCTGTAGCAACTTGCTGCGCTGATGCAGGACTGACAATGACATGAGGCTGGAGCCAGCAGTTGGTCGACCTGATTGCGTTAGTGATCATTCCCACGTGGTGGCTCGGAGCGTATAGTAGAATAGTACATACCATGGGGCTTGGCGCTGTGATTCATAACCATTTGACCCTTGGACTACGGAATCCCTGCCGAATAGCAGAGGGAAGGCTGTGGACACATAGGTGGCCCGTTCTCTGTCTTGTTCGATGTCGGAAAGGCCGGCAAAGCTCGATAGAAGAGCTTCGATTTCACAGATCGTCTCCCGCTCCAGGTTGAGCTGGTTTTTGAGAATTGCAGCGATCATCGCATTTACCGGACACCAACACTCAATATCATTTGAAGACAAATCTGAATTGACTTGAGAAAAGAAAAAAAACAAAAGAAAGGAACAAGGGTAAGCCTGTAAAAGGTCGTGCGAGATCATGACACGGGCCAGTGGATCTCGGCCCCAAAGCCAGTAGGGCGCTATGCGGGCCGGCGCGACGAACTACAGCCACCAGGATCGCATTCCCCGTCAATGTCTGGCAGCCGTCGAGTTTAGCGTATGTATCTACTCCACAATTGCAATGTCGTGTACTCCGGAGTAATTTGAGAAAGCGGCGCTGCCGAGGCGAAACTTGAAAGGGCAATACCTACTGGGCTCCTCCCCATGTGCCCTTTTTCTCCCATGTCCTTTGGGAGCCACGCTCAGATGAACCACCAGAGACGGTCGGCATGGGAAGGTCAATTGAAGGGCGGGATGGCGAAGGCTTATCGCATATGACAATTGCTGTACGGGTCATCGTGTTGGTTCTAGCAATTGCAACGACATTTGTGTGTATGCTTCGGGTAGGTTTGACACTTCTGTTGCGAAAGAAGTGCGCTGAGATATGATAGATATACTTGCGCAAGTTCGTTATAAAACGATTCGGACTCGATGACTGGTTGGTGCTGTGTGCTCTTGTGAGTTCAGTCTGGAGATACACCGCTAGTGTGAGGTTGCTGATAATTTAGATCGGAGTAAATTTGTTCTCTGCGCTTGCGTATACCATCACGTACTATGGGCTGGGACAGGATTTACAGAACGTATCCGTCGACGACTTGGCTGTCTTCCTCACGGTCAGTATAACTGGCAGTTCAAACTCATCAACCTGGACTAACGCTCGCAGCTCGAATATGCCTCGCAATGCGCCTACCTTGTGATTGCAGCAGCAGTCAAAGCCAGTCTACTCGTGTTCATCATGCGCCTCTTCCCCACTCGGTTCATCCAGGTTGCCGGAAAGTCCCTCCTTCTATTTATCGCTGTTTTCACAATATCTGGCACTCTGGCCTGGTGTTTCAATGTCGGCCCGTCCAGGCCGCTTATGATAAGACCATTCCCAATGCCAGCTGCTACCCGACTGAGACCTCATATGCCATTCTGATGATGCAGGGAGTCATCATGTTTGTGCTTGATGTGATGATACTTGTGCTCCCAATGCGACCAATCTGGAAATTGCAAATGCCGTTAAAGAAGCGGTTACTTGTCATAGGGCTGCTATGTGTTGGTCAGTAACCAGCTAAGATGATGGAGCCAACGGGTACTGATGAAGGGCCAGGGTTTACCGCATGCATCGCCGCTCTTGTGCGATTCTCAACTCTTAAATTTGCCAATGACACAACGAACTTCACCTGTGAGTGCTTCGCCATACCCCTTTTAAACGGACCATGCTGATCCACCAGACTCGGCCTCGACATCCCTTATCTGGATGGAAGTCGAGTTCAACCTCGGCCTCATGTCGGGATCTCTGTCCTCCCTACGGAAACTCTTTAAGATTCATGCACCATTTAGTTCTGCCGATGCCTCTCAAGGGGAATCAAGCCAGTCCGCGAGCCTCGAACCCCCCAGATCCCGACACAGCCGCCTCAAGGGCGGGATCACGAAGAAGACAGAAATCATAAGAGTATATGAAACAAGTGAGAGCCAGGAGCATATTGCCCCGATGAATAGATTGGGTGAAACGACCAATACTACCAATGCATATGAGGCGAGGGCGAATTCAACGAATCTTTGAGGCGGTACAGGACCTGGTCGCGCTTGGGAATTTATATCTGTTACCCATGTTTTTCAGACAGTCGAATTACTTACTGTCACGAGTTTAGGGAAGATCCGGTTCCTATCGAACAGACCAATTCCATAGAAGTCAGGTTCAATGTTGGGGAAGTTTACCCGTGACGTCAAACTCAATGCATTAATTTATACATTTATGGATGCTTCCATTAAATTTATCCGCACAGGAAACTGCCAAGAATAACCGCACAGCACGCTGGGCAACATTGGCTTTCTCAAGGGGAAGCTGGTATGTTTAGCGAAATAGCATGGTCATCGCGCTATCAAGCCTACTATATAGTTGCTCCCCAGTGTACTTCGTCCGAAGCCAATACTCTTCTACGGCGGCATTCTCAATTTTCTGCTGTGATGGCTTGATGGCCGCATCGCATATATCACATCTAGCCTGTAGATGTGGCCTTTCTTTGTCAAGCCGCATGTGCTCCCAGCCACGATTGTTCGTGGCTTGTTGGCGTTCCTGAAGAGCACGGCTCAGCGCACCCTTCCGTCCAGCCTGTTCATAAATGGCGACACGTCTAATCTCGGCATCATGACAATGGGTCCAGTGATGTGTTCACCCGAATTATACGGTAATGATTAACTCTAGCGATCAGTTCATCCACCAGTATTTCTCGTGCGATCATAAAAGGCGGTAGTTCTGTAGGGATCAACACCTAGAACGCTGTCACCTTTTCTTTTAGAGTGGATTGTTTACCAAAGAGGAAAGAGCCGCTGGGAAATAAGTCCCAGATGACCGGCTACGGGAAGGTGCGTTCGCAATCATGCTGAAGTCGCAAGGATGATAGCTAGCCATCTTGTTTCATGCTGAGAGTGGGAACTTTAGCCACAGGTGTTACTATAATAAGAGAGGGTAGCAGCTAGCGGTACTCCCTGTGCATTACTTAGGATATCTAGCAGTAGTCAAACTAAATAACGTACTTGAAGTGTTTTGAAGAGATATGGAAGGATATGAGGTTGGAGATGATATGCAAATGATCTAAGCCTAAGTGATTAGTTAATTAGCCACCCTCATTAACTAATTCTAGGGTACCGTGACCAGATCAGAAGTTCCCGCTTAGACCGCGACTTAGGAAGAGCTATCAGAACATTCCCTCCAGATGCCTAAAGTCATAGTACATCGATGTTAGAATTATCGATGATATGACACTATCATCCCGTAGCTCAAGCAGCCATAATCTCCCCCCAACTTCTGCTATGGTTGAAGCTGAGGTCTTGAATATTGCCCCTTCTATAAAAGGAATATTATATATAAGACATCTTTTTGGAAAAAGAAATACTAATGTTTTCAATTCCCTCTGTAGAGATCACAAGTATAGGTATTTCTTATAGTTTCTGATCCCTTTATAGGAGAGGCAGATAAGCTTTATATAGATTATTAATATTCAGTGTTATTCCAGATAGAAAGCGGATCTCGTCGCATAATGGATCATAAATATGTGAAAACTGTACATAAGTATCATAGACTATTCAGGAGTAGGAAATATCGCAAATTCCATGTCGCCAAGTTTAGATGCGGCGTAAGAACTAGTGGTTTTCTTTTCTTTTCTTTCTTCTCCCTTCTCCTTGTTGGCTGGGGAGAAGACGGAATTGACACAAACTCCAACGAGCCAAACGCCGTTATATGCCTGAGAAGGATCAATAAAGCCCAATGCGTCGATTCGTTCAAATAGTTGACAATAAAGGTATCTTTCATCCTCAATGATGTCAGTACATAGTGACGCGCGCCTTGCAGTCACAAATAATCGTTGCTCAATTCGAAGGGGAAGAACTAGCTTTCGTGAAGCTATGCACTTCTAAGCATCTTTGCCGGTAAGCCGCTTTCTCTCGCCCGACTCGCGGGACAAATCATCCTCATCATCTGACCATTTGTCTCCATCCTCGCCGACGGCAAAGATGGTTTCTCCATCAAGGGACTCCCGATGGCGCGGTGCAGCCGGGACGGGTTTAGGAGGCACAGGCGAGAGATCACGGCGCTGTTCATGGGCAGAACTTTCTGGGATACCACCAAGCGCGTCTTCCTCGTCCAATTCGCTGTTGAATGATCGGATTTCAAACCCATCATCATCTTGAGCAATCTGTAGATCATATCAGTACAATCATTCGTATTTTCCTTTCTTTATGTTGGAATAATGCCGTACCTCATCACTCATTGCAAAGCGCCTGTTGTTGGCAGTGGGGCGCCACAAGTAGGCGACAAATGCGATGTCAAACAGGTAGACCAGATTGAGCCAACCATCCAACACGAACCACCGACTCTTCCAATGTTCTGGTACAAAGCTTGCTTCGCTGCGGCCGGCGAAGGCAATTGAATTGATGAAAAAGAAGCCGAATATCACGATGATGCTGCCCAAGATGCACCACCACAGCTTCTTGTACATCAGTGCTTTGACCTTTTGCTTCCTGTCGATAAGATCTTTCATGGTTGCATTCAACGAATTCAGAGTCCACACATAAAAGGCAGTCAAGGTGCCCGCAAGTGGCAACACAATAAGAAGAACAAGGGGACCAGCACTGTCTGGCGTTATTGATAGACTTGCAACAGCGTAGATGACGGCGAAAATAAAGTGGGCGATAGCGAGGACGCGAACGTAGATCATGGCCCGACCGAGGGAAGGCTTGACAACACCATATCCCATACACACAATAAGAAGCAAGAAGAATGAGAAAGCATTCCGGCCCGCATTAAGCACGGCTACAATGACCATTAGTACCTTTGCACCAACGTTCAGGCCGTGTCGGTTCTGATAGTCTGCACATTGTTAGAGAGCAAGTATCTAGACTGTATATCGGCTTCGACATACCATAGAAGCCCCAGGTCATCAACTGTTCTACAATCAGGAAGACCAATATAGCAGTGATATAATTCTGCACAGGTACTGTCGTGGGTCAGTAATTGTCGTGGTAGATGGATGAAGTCGCTTACAGATGTCGTGGCGATTTTGTACATATAGGAAAGCCCAGAACCTATGTCCAATCAGTATAGACTTCAAGAAATTGCAGTAAATTTGCATGAACATACACCCCAACAAGAGCGTAAACGATAGTCAAGCCGCCGTAAAATGGGAGCTTGGCGATCTGCGCAGCCGGAAGTTCACCATACGCGTTTCTGAACTCGACGACGGCTTTGTAGTCCCGTCCCGAGTATCCATAAGTGCTCACACAGTAGAATCCTGTTTTCTTCACGGGGTAGTTGATTGCGGTAGGATTGTTCAAGTGGATCGCCTGAGTTACAATCGTGAATTCGGACTCGCTTGCGTTCGGGGCAAGGATAAAGGAGCCAATATCGCCAGGCTCGCAGAGCTTGTCATTGACACTCTTTTCGTCGCAAATAGTTTCCTTCTCCTATGATGTTTATCAGCTGGTTGATATCTCCATGGATGGTGAAAGAAGTGTACATCGGCATCATCCGATACTGCTCTTCCAATTAGAGCTTCGTCGGACCATTCAAAGATCACCAAGCTGACGAGAGGGTCACTATCGCCAGTGTCGCCATCACGAACAAATTTAGTCAATATGAAGGGCTCAACATCTCCGCCCCAGGCTTTGCGACTGTACATTCCCGAACATCGCTGCCTATGAGCTTCATCCTGTGTCTATAATAAAAGATCAACTGTTAGAACTTGCAGCTTGAAATATCCTTCTGATGTTTAGCGCACCAATTCCACTTCATTTGCGAGTGCACGACCCGCCAGCAAGGCAGTTAAACAAAAGGCCTGGAGCCAGCCTTTCATCTTGATCGCTAGAAAAGGAGCTAACAGATGGTAGTACTAAGCGCGCTCCGGAGATGCCGAAAGCTAATGGTTCTCTCACAACCACAGGATCATGAGAAAAGTAAAGGGAGGATAATATAGGTGGAAGGAGAGAGAGAAGGGAGAATAATGGGTTCCGAAGAAACAGCCGACACTTTTGTTCGCAGCTCCGACCTGGTTGGGTAAGGCGGTAGGGATTCGTGGCTACCTTGCACTTGAGATGGAGAAGCCGCGTGTTGATGTCCCGCCGATACCATAGTAGTATTATCTAAGCCCGTTTCTCCGAGTAACTATAAATGGAGCAAAGCCTGAGAATGTCACCGCCAACGGGATTTCTGCCTCTTGCCGGAATTTTGCCTCTGTCCGATAACAGATACAAACCAAAGAACCACAAGAGCAACCCCGACACGGTGGTATAAACAGAAATGCCTGGCAAAGAACTGTTGGACCCTTGCGTCGACTGCCGCGATGTAGAAGCTATTCTGACATTGCGGCGGCGGCGTTTATGCAAGTACGAATTTTATCTACTCTCCAAGTGGGGTTACTGCAAATACTAACCGGCTCTTTCTCTGTGCAGAGACTGTTATATTAAATTCGTGTCATACAAAGTCTTCAAGCGCATGGAAAATTATCGCCTGAATAAAGGTTTCGCAAAAGATAAGCCCTGCAAGCTGCTCTTTCCTCTTTCTTACGGTCTCTCCTCGTCGGTGCTGTTGCATATGTTGCATGCTCAGCTTGAAGTTCAGCGCTCGAAAATACACGCCTCCCCGGGCTTTGATTTACATGTGCTTATAATAGAGCCTTCGACTATCTCGCCCTCGAATCCTGCGCATGATGAAGGTTTCGAGTTGGCTCAGAAATACTTCCCTTTGTGTTCCTTTACCAAGGTTCCGTTTCACAGTATCTTCGACCTAGTCCCCGATTTCAAGGAAACCATGTCCCAATTTGCTGGCAAAGGATTCGAGGATGATCCTTCGTTGTCGGGTGCAGAGCGCCTTGATGCCTTCCGCTCGTGTATCGCAACGTCAACCTCTAAGGCTGATGTCGATTATATCTTGATGAACCAGCTGATCGTGGCCTTCGCAAAGCAAATGGATTGCCAGGCAGTGATTTGGGGAGACTCAGATAGTAGACTTGCTGCGAAAACACTTGCCAATGTTGCTAAGGGACGCGGTTCTTCAGTAATTTGGCAGGTCTCCGACGGAATGTCCCCGTTTGGCCTGGAGTTCAACTTCCCTCTGCGGGACTTGTTTACGGCGGAATTGAGAGATTATGCCAGTTTCTTCCCGGAACTCACCAAACTTATTGTACCAGATGAACCACTTTCAGAAAATACTTTAACCAAGAATTTGTCCATCGACGAGCTCATGATGCGGTACGTACTGACGCAGGGCGAGAAATACCCCGGTGTCATGTTGAACGTGACGAGGACGGCCAATAAACTCGACGTCTCGCAAATGCCAACCAATCTGTCCCCTTGCGCTTTTTGCGGTGCTCCTTTGATGAATGAAGTAGAAGGTGGACACACTCAATTCTGCTACGCATGCGCTCGGTCACGTCCAAGTACAAGCTCGTAATGGGGCTCTGCAAAATTCTTGATCCATTATTGACCAAACTAAGACAAAAAGCATCATATATTACCTAAGGTATATGTGACCACCAACGCCTATAAAGACAAATTCGCAAAAGTGGACCCCTGTGTCTTCATAAATATCGATTGTTACCTACGGTTCTGAGAGTTGTCGACGACTCCAGCTTCGAGGTCATGCTCCCGATGGGAGGCTCCACCGAACCATTTGGTATGCTTTCGGTTGTCGTGGGATTGATGTGCTGGCTCATTCGTTGCTTGACGGGTCTTACTGCGATGCCTGCTGCGATGCCTGCTGTGATGTCTATGGCTTTCGCGCCTTGAAGGACCATCCACCATCATCTGGTCATATTTGTCAAATTCGTCGGGCAGACTTGGATCTGTATCATTCTCTTGGCGTCTTCGCTGTTTCGAAAGCGCCTTGGCTCCCTTCTCCCTTAAATGTTTCTCCAGCATAACAGCATTTCTTGTGTTACACTTGTACATGGCGTCGGCAAGATCCCCCACGAAGGGCACGAGACCGATGGCGAAATCAATAATGACATTGATCAGCATCATCATTCTGAGGCGTGTCGGAAGCCCCCCGTCGATCTTCTCACACGTATTTACCACCATCATCGCAAGTGCAGCATCAACAGCATCGCCGGCACTAACCAAGACCACAATTAGTATTATTAAACTACACAGCTGGGCCAGTACTTACAATGGGATCAAGCCAATCACACTGCCCCAGCCAAATCGGATGCCACACAGGCTGAACAGACACAAGTCTAGTCTATATGCTGCGTTTCACTTGGGTAAGGACTTTCTGATCATTTTCAGACAGACCCGGTGGTACTGCCTTGCGCCGCTTTTGAGTCTTTTTGCCGAATACGCGGTGCAGACGTGAGGCCGGAACTTCCTCGAAATATGGATCCTATGATGTATATGTTTAGCCAACCTTTGTATTGAGAGAGTATGGGAGGCACAGCGGACAGCTCACCTCTGTTCCAAAATGGTTTCGTGCCGATTCTGCTAGAATTCTTTTCCCGACTAAAGACACGAGTGGGCCTGACATGATTTTGCAACCAGATTGTAGATAAATGATTGTACCCCGTGAGCTTGCGGCAGGAAGCCTTGTGTCGAATGTCCGGGTGTATTTCCGTCAAGACCGTAAGAAGGCGGCTATATATACAGATTCTTCTTAAGAGACGAGATCGGGTAACACCTAAGGGTAGGAATATTTAATCCAAGGGGGGCTCGAAGCGAACATTTAAGCTCTAGCCAAGACTGTTGTTGTTCATGCGTAGGCTTTTAATCATTCCTGTTCCCATGGGCATGGCCCGTGTGAGGACGTCATCCCGCAGTTTGCAAGTTCCACCCGAATCCATTACATAATTACATAATGCCACCGATGATCACACACTAGCCACATCGCCACACATATGGCGCACGGGCATGCCGCACTGGGCTTTCATTGGGCAGCACCGCCACAGATCGAGCGGGCTGCGATTCAGCTCTTGCTTCCTCGCTGTTCTTGTCTTCGTTACGTTGGGGACAACTCAATACCTGTCTATCTCAACCACCTTCCTCATTCTCGGTTTTCCAGTCGTTTGGTTCGCCGATCGACAAACTATTGGTTTGTTCCCGTCAGCGCCTTATCTCCTCTGCAGCCACTGTACGCTTCAGGGTTGGCGCTTTGCCAAGCACCCTTCCTTGAAGCTGCATCATCGCTGTGCTGTCCCCTCCAACCCATCCTCTCACTCCGCGTCCCAGACTTCGGACACCTTCACTCCCCTTCCCACCTAGGCTGAGTTGAAATGCTTGGGTACGTCGCACAATATGACAGAAACAAAGATGCATTTAGAAGATTGTAAGTCTGCTACCCTTCATTTCTGACTTGGGATGGGTCTTCATTGGCCACCGCGATACCGAGACGGCTGATCTCCAATAGGGCTGGATGACCTGTGTGTCCGCTTCATTATAAACTTGCCCCGTGAAGAGCTCGAATCGGTCGAACGTATATGTTTCCAGGTCGAGGAAGCACAATGGTTCTACGAGGATTTCATCCGGCCGTTGGACCCGGCTCTTCCTTCACTGTCCTTAAAAGCTTTCGCCTTGCGTATCTTCCAACACTGTCCGTTAATGTCCCAATGGTCACATTATCATCACATCACGGCATTTTCGGAGTTTCTGGCATATAAGACTCGTGTTCCGGTGCGCGGGGCTATAATGCTTAGCCAAGACATGGACGAAGTAGTTTTGGTCAAAGGCTGGAAGAAGGGTGCCAATTGGAGTTTCCCACGAGGCAAAATCAACAAAGACGAAAAGGATCTAGACTGCGCTATTCGCGAAGTCTATGAAGAGACCGGCTTCGATGTTCACGAAGCTGGACTCGTTAAGAACGAAAAAGACGTCAAGTTCATTGAAATCACTATGCGAGAACAGCACATGAGATTATATGTCTTTCGTGGGGTACCTCGCAATGCTCACTTTGAGCCGCGCACTAGAAAAGAAATCAGCAAGATTGAATGGTACAATTTGTCGGAGCTGCCAACGTTGAAGAAGAGTAAGCAACAAGACCAGGGCTTGGCTGTTGCAAACGCGAATAAATTTTATATGGTCGCACCGTTCATGCACCCGCTCAAGAAATGGATCGCACAGCAGAAGAAGCTCGACACGAAGATGCAAGCGGGTGTGACTCAAGTGTTACAGAATGAGGGAGAGATGTCGATGGATGAAGGTTTTGCGGCGCCCAGTCAGTCTCTAGGACTGACTACTTCTAGCGACCTGCCCGAGGTTGCGCCATCTCAGGATGCCTCTGCCCACCTCAAACGCCTCTTGAACATCAACGACGCTGTTCAGAAAATTCCGGCTCCCTCTATCGATACATTACCAGCTAACGCCTCTAAATCCAATGCTCTTTTAGAGCTTTTGAGAAGTGGCTCCTCCCGTGGGCCCACTCCACAGGCTCTGAGCAATGAGCAAACGTCGCCAGCGCATGCTATTACTGCAGCAATGACTCCTCAACACCCACCTTATCCTGCTCCGACCTTGTTCCCAGGCTTTCCTGTGCAAGGTCCAAGTGCACAGCCTGGTTATCTCGGACAATTTTCGCCACGGCAACCGCCTAGCGCATTATCTCATATACCACATACAAACAACCATGTCCTTGATCAGCATATGCCTCAGCGATCATTGGCCCAACCATCTCCGGCGGTGAATCAGCATAGCCGTCCAGCTGGGTATGGTGGAATGGATGCTTATACTTCGCGCCACATCTCTACTCAACCCTACAACGACGCGCATGTGCCGTCAAATCAAGCACCTACGGCCCCTTATCAGCAGACTGGAGACCCGTTTTCTCAACCAGCTCAGCCCCCTCAAATTCCAGGAGCGAGTGTACCGCCTGCCAGTAAGCTACCGCCTCCGAAGCTCACAAGCCACTCGTTAGCGCTATTGAGTGTTTTCAAGGATGAATCCTCGAAGACGCCTAAGACTTCTCATGCATCTTTGACACCACAGCCAGAGCAGGTGCCTATGAGTGGGCGCAAGTCGTCGCAGCATCAGGACCAATTGTTAAGCCTCTTGAGAGGTTCTCCAGTTACCTCCGGTTCGACACCAGCCGAATTAGCAGGCCATGCAAGCTCTCCCACTAAAAAGCAGATTCTACAACGGCCACGTGATTCTAGCCCTACCCAACAGGCACTTACTTACGTGAGTGCGGTACCAAAGAGTAATCCCTTGAATTCAAGCGCCGCATCTAGATCGGTGCATCCACCACAGCCTGAGGCAACTGCTAAGCCACCAGGTAAAAAGAACCAGAATATTCTGAATCGAAAGAACAAGGATCGACAGCCACAAGGCCTCTCTTCACCCATTACAATTTTAGCTAGACCCCAATCCGCTAAGAGAGAGCAATCACCTAATCCAGCAGTGGCATCATCTTCGAGGACTTCGTCCCGTACCCGCAAGGATAGCAAGCCGAAAACCTCGGAACCCCCGAAGCCTTTCCAGCCACAAATCTTACGCCGTTCTCAAAACTTGGACCATATACTTCCTGTACGGACCAAGGAACCACATCATTCAGAACAGCAGGATGGTCCTCAGATTTCAAGCACCGAACGGGAGGCAAGCAATTTTGATCGCCGACCAAGTCAATCCGCTGCTCAAAAAGAGACTCTTCTCTCCCTTTTTGGCAAACAACCAGTATCACCAGGCGTTTCGCCCGCAGTTGAGCTCAATGTCCACATCTCCGGATCAAAGCCAGTAACATCATCCGTTGTCAGTCCGCTATCGCCTCTTAATCTCCCCACTCCAGCTGGGATGAGTGGAGAATCTCCCGCGCCAGAAGATAATGGCAGCCTGAATGCGAGAGTGTCTTCGCCAGACAACAAGGCTTTCTTGCTTGGATTTTTGCAAGGGGTTGCCAAGGGGAACAAGTAGGCGTGCTTGTGCCCGCCATATTCTTGTAGTACTAAGTTTAGCTCTTTATTTGGGCAGGATCCGTGGCGCTTTGGATGGAATAATTTAATAGGCTATATTCTTTATCGTCTCTTGGACTTTTCTGTACGTAATGAGTGGTCAATCGTAAGGACCTAGTGGAGTGTAGTATAAATATATTCTGCCGCGTGCCACCGCCCGGTGATTGATATCATCGTCCATGGAGCTTTAGTTGATTTGTAAACTTTCTTCGGAGCTACATCCACTTTCTAACAGTGCCATCCGATGACAATGATGCGGCCCAGCCCATCTGTCCGCACGTTATGTGCTAATTGCTCGAACAACGCCCGGCTCTTCTCAACCACCGTCCATCCACGCTCGCAGCAGAAGAGCGATGCCACTCCAGCTTCCCCGCCGCAAGCCGGTTATGCTCGCCTTACGAACCGAGGCCTGATTTCCATCACAGGGGTCGATAGTACCACCTTCCTTCAGGGGCTTATTACCCAGAACATGTTAATAACGAACGACTCAAACCGCGCAACCCGTCGAACTGGATCTTATACCGCCTTCCTCAACTCTCAAGGTCGAGTGCTGAATGATGCTTTTCTGTACCCGCTCCCACAAGCAGACCTTGCGTCGCCCGATGAACCAGCATGGCTCATCGAAGTCGATAAGAACGAAGTGGCGAGTCTCATGAAACATTTAAAGAAACACAAGCTTCGTGCGAAGCTAAAGCTACGTGCTCTCGAAGACGGCGAACGCACGGTGTGGGCCTCATGGAAGGAACATGAACAACCCCGCTGGGCCGCATATAATCTTGAAACCCCATCCTCGTCTCCTTTCTCACCATCGTCCTCGATCGCCGGCTGCGTTGATACAAGGGCTCCCGGGTTCGGCTCCCGCCTCATCACTCCGGGTGCGGAAGATCTCCGGACTCATGTTCCTGATGAGACTCAGATTGCCGGTTCGGAGGTGGGTCTTGGAGCCTATACCGTGCGCCGAATGCTGCACGGTATTGCCGAAGGCCAGTCTGAGATTATTCGTGAATCAGCGCTCCCGTTGGAGTGCAATATGGATATGATGAAGGGAATTGACTTCCGCAAGGGCTGCTATGTGGGCCAGGAGCTTACGATCCGCACCCATCACACGGGTGTTGTACGGAAGCGTATTCTACCCGTGCAGTTATATACAGGAGATCAAAGTGTTCTTGATTCCGCTGGGGCTCCCGTGTATGACCCTACTGCGGAGTTGCCTCTACCTCCAAGCGCAGCGAATATGTACAAGATTAGTACACGAAAAGCGCGTAGTACGGGCAAGTTCCTCGGTGGAGTTGGTAACATCGGTCTTGCCTTGTGCCGGTTAGAGATGATGACTGATGTTACTCTTACTGGCGAGCGCACCCAGTATAGCCCTGAGCAGGAGTTCAAAGTGTCATGGGATGCGGCAGAAGAAGGTTCATCAGAACACCAGGGGCCTGGAGAGGTCAAGGTCAAAGCCTTTGTGCCTTCTTGGACGAGAGATTTCATCCTCAATGGAGGAGTGAAGAACAACACCCGTAGTCGTGAGGCCGAACAAGGCCATCGAGCACGGGAGTTCCTAGAGCAATTAGAAGAAGAAGAGTCGCTCCGGCAGAAAGAGTAATAGACCTTTGTATGATATAGCATATGTATAGTAACGACCATGTATCATAGCACAGCAATCAAGCAAAATGTGTTCCATATGATGAAGGGGTATCTCTTGTACTAATTAGTCTATCTATACATAATCCCCATAACGCCAGCTATTTGTCCGGTTGAGTTCAGCCGCAGGCTAGAGGGAGAGCCTGTAAGACTGATGCCCAACATATGCGGTTATAGAAATAAAAAGAGGGAGCCTGTGTATAAGAAAAACATGGTAAACTAAGCATTGGTTTCAGCGGCCGCGGCCTCGGCGCATCTGCAGCCTCGTCTTCTTTCCGAAGCTGCTCCTCAAGAGCTTTGCGCTCCTTCTCCCGCTGCGCAGTCTTTAGTCGCATTAATGTCACTTCTTCCATGCTAGGGGTACTGGGACCGTTAGTCGATGAACTAGGGGTTGGCTTAGCTGAACCAGCTACGGCTGCAGCAGAAGCGAATGAACCAAAAGACGGCGCTTTGCCGGGCTGTTTGCCATCTGAGCCTGTCGTCTTGACTCCAGGGAAGTTAAATGCAGGCCTGGGAGGCGCAGCTGCCATCTTTGGCTCACTTTTCTCTGCGGAAGGAGAAGCAAGACGGTTGTCAGATCCTGCTCCTAGGTCAGGTTGATTGCCAGATGCCCAGAATACAGAGTCAATTGAGCCCCAGTCGCTATCTGTTTGCCCGGCGCCTTGGCGTATCTTCTTCTCACTATCCAGAACGGCAGCATGCGCACCCACGATGGAAGTAAAGACCACAACGCCCGTTGCGACAGTCTTTTTCTCACGCTTATCTCCAATACGTTGCCGCTTATCCTTGAGCACAACAACACTTTCGACCTTGCCAAATGGAGTGAACAAAGACGTTAAACGATCCTTATCCAAGTCCAAGCCCCTACCTTCACGAACCCAGCGCGCCTTCACAGCTCGTTCGAGTTCCGGCACATTGGCTCCACCTTCCTGCGAGCGATCGACCCGCTGACTACTCTTATCCGCAGCCTTCTGTGCCTCTTCCTCCTCCTGACGCCTCCGCTTCTCCTCGTCATCGGCCTTTTGCTTCAACCGCTCCTCCGCCTCTCGTCGTCGTCGCCGGCCATCCTCCGCGATCCGCTCAATTTCCCGCTGCAGCTTCTCCTCCGCATCATCATCACCCGTCCCACTCATCCACGTCCGTTTCACCCCGCGAGGCGCACCACCCATCGCCGCAGCACCAGCGCGTTCCCTCGCTTCTAGATCTTCCCTCATCTTCCTCTTCGCCGCATCCATCATATCCCGCTCGCGCTGCTTCCGCTGCCGCGCCTCTCGCGCATTATCATAGAGCTGTCGTATCGACGGATCAGAGAGGACATCGTAGGCAATCTGTAAAGTGTGGAACTTGTCGATGTCTGCAGGTGTGGGGTTCGCGATTTTGTCGGGATGGTATTTAAGAGCAGTTTTTCGGTATGCACGACGAATCTCGCCTTCGGCGGCGGCTGGGGATATGTCTAGCAGGGCGTAAAAATCTTGATTGGAGGCGGCGTGCGCCTTGAGATCGTCGTTTGAAGCCATCTTGTTCGAATTTGCTAGAATGTAGCGATATAGGATATGGTGACTTGGGAGGGTATAGAGACTTGCGCTTTATACGCAAGTATTCTTGGATTACCCCTATTTGATTTTCGAGTTAAAGCTGAGGTGAAGGGGATTGAGATGTAATGTTGTGGAATGACTTGGGAAAATAAATGATGGTATTCATTGGCGGAGGCGGTGGCGGAACTTTGAAATTAAATAAAATAAATTGTCCTGCACATGGTCCGTGATCTACAGATGTATTTATAGACGGGCAATGAGAATAAGACTAGATAAATACCAACTCAATGGCAACACTTAGCTATAAACCACTGCAAGCTGCTCGCCTATGAATCTATATCAACCTTCCAGCAGTGCAGCTGTTTATTGTACGAGCCATGCTATAGCTATACAATAGCTTCGCACTTCGCGCTCCGCTATTATTGCCGGTCCCCAAGACTTAAATACATTGCTTGCTAAGAGAACTATGTCATCAATGATATCTTGCCGGTTCGATCTGGGAAGTGTGAGGGAAAATACTTGCGAAACCAATTGGATCTTGAACAAATCTATGAGGGCAAAGTTTACAATGACTAGGTTAGATCTACTATATCATTGAGGAGTCTACTACCTAGTAAGTCACTGGAGCTGGTATGGATGCAGGATGTTATTTCAAGATGGAACTTTTTCAGTCCTATGTTGTGGGATAAGAGAAGAAGACTGCAGCTTAGCAAGTGTCTTCAACTCCCAGTCTTTGTTGTAAAGGTTTTAGAAGATGAACTCAATAACAGTGCTTTAGATGATGTAGACCAAACCACGTGGCTCGGAGCTCCCTCCTACACTCCCCTCATACAGTATCAACATACTACTCACTTCACTTGAACATATTTGATCACTGAAGAATCCTCTCAGCAAATATGGACGATGACACCGTCCCTTTCCCAGCACAGCTGGCTCTCGCAATAGCAATCGTCAAGCATAAACCAGCAGACTTGAGTATCAGAGGTAAATAGCATCAAACTACCATGATTGTATCTACTCACTAAAAAAACAATAAACCTTACAGATTATATTCTGAACATCAGACAGCATATCAAAGATACTCGAGACGCAGACAAATCCTATACTCATGACAAAGATAGATTCTTCGACAGCGTTTCCTTCTGGCAGCAGGCGTACGAAAAGTCCGAAGCAGAGCAGAGCAAACTAGTAGATCGCATTTACGACCTTGAGAGGCGTAATGAAGCCCTCAGTACTAGGTTACAGGTCCAAAATACCCCGTTTGAGGCGGAACAGTCGTCGTCGAAGCGAAAGGTAACCGTTGGCGAAAAAGCCACTGGAGGTACAACGGCACGGAAAAGAGCCAAGACGCAGATGGGTTCTAAGGGTATCTCGGATCATACCTCAGCTCCATGGGATGGACTTGATCGGCTTGATTATACGGAGGAGTGTTAGTTTGTTCCGTCGTCTCCGTGTTCTTGTGTGCGGCGCTGACTGGTTCTTGTCTTAGCTATCGGCCCATTCATGAGGCATTATTATACGCTTCAGAAACTCCTTCAGAAGAAGCCTAATGGCTTGGATATTGTTAAGGCTGCAGTGAATCTCTGCGAGACAACTGCAAATGAAATCTCAAAGGTAGTCTCGGAGAAAAGAGCGGCGCATTGTACTTCGAGTAATAAGGGCTCAACGCGGATTGAAGGGCCGACTACCGCTGAAGTGTTTCGCTGCATGGCATGCGCTTTCCAACTCGTCTTACGGGCGTTGAAGGCTTTATCTGGAACAGAGAATTTCATACGATATTCCAATCGTGTCATTTACCATATTGTTCGTCTGTATGAAGCAACGATGAATGCTTTAGAACAATGGTGCAAGGCCAAATCCGAAGAGACACAGGCATCCAAGCAAAAAAACGCAGCAACCAAAAAGAAGGTCAAAGATAGACAATTTCCTGAATCCAATATGAACATCGATGATGAGGTTGCTACGCAGATGGCTCGACTGCTAAACACAATGGCCTCCTCACTTAACCCTGGGTGTCCGGGACACCAGGATTTACTAGAAGGGTTTCTATTCATTTTGCTCAATCGCGTCGGAAAGTTGCTGTGCATGTTTGTCTTTCAGGATCTAAAGCTACGAACTGATCTTCGTGCAGACTCTACAAAGATTCCACTCCCTAGAGGCTTGACAGCACTTGACCTCAACGATAATTCGTTGTGTTCAGCAGAGATGGAGGCAAAGTGTCTAATCTGGCTATTAGAGAGATCATTGGCCGTATTGCATAGTTTTACTTCATCTCCATCGGCATCTCGAGATAGTGACGGAAGCATATTATTTGTGGCAAATCTCAAGGAAAGACTACAAAGCACTCTGCTCCAGGCTGTTTTTGGCACAGATTCGACTTGGGGAAAGTCACTCCAGCGACCCGCGCTGACTGATGAAGATCTTCGCAATCTACAACTACCTTCTCAGGACCCTGATCAATCAGTCCCAGACTGGTTCACGCAAGAGGTATGGAAGCTATTAGGATGGGAAATATTGGTGAAAAGCAACGCTTCAAAGCTTTGAATACAGAATTGTAACCAATTACCACTCTACCAACGAAAGAAATGGCGGTTTCCCATAGAAAGTCCATGGGTATGTTCTCCAATTGTTTATAGCTATAATTTATAAATATCTGTTTTTTCTCTCGATAATTCCTAACAGTAATCTGATCGAATATTATTTCAAATCCAGAATCCGAGCTGCATTTCCGCCCAGCACAGCTGCAGCTGCATCTCCATCTTTATCGAATGTAGCGTGAATGGCCTTGTAGTTTGTCGTCACACTAGGCCATTCTCCTTCCTTGTCATCCAAGGGAGGGAAGAACGGGTGGTCGGTACCTAGTACTTGGTGAGCAAGATCCACATTAACTATCATTGTTCCAACGAAAAATCATACCAAAAAGCAAACGATCTGTTCCAGATGCTGCCATTGCTGCTTGCAAGCCGGCAGTGCCATATACTACAGCATCAAGATATATATTGGTCTTCAAGACATCCCATACGCTTCTTTGAGGGCCAGGCACATCACCACCGTTGGCAATGAACTTGCGTTCATGATGGATACAGCTTTCGATCCGTCCTGCAAGAAAGGGAAGCGTGCCTCCAGAATGGGCCAGCAAGATCTTCAGCCGCGGAAACCGATCAAAGACACCCGCCAAAAGCATTCGAGTCACCGCAATTGTCGTTTCAAGGGGGAACCCTAAAGCCAGCGGAAGAACATGTCCGTAGCGATTCATCGCATCCGAACCACCAAAAGCTTCGTCGGGTAGTCCGTAGTGTGGGTGTAAGAATAGAAGTGATTCAGTATCCTGCAGCGCCCCCCAGACAGGATCCAGCTGGGTATCATCCAGTCCTTTTCCCAACCCGGAGGTCCCCATGATGACCCCACGCAGATGCGGCAAGGTTTTAAGTCTCTTGATTTCGCTCACGACAATGTCAGCGCTAGGAGCACTTAGCGGCAGCGCGCCGAAAGCAAATAGTGATTCCTTCTCGTGTAGTGCCAGGAGTTTATCTGGGTCTCCGGCCTTGTTAATACGTGCGCATGTGTTTTCAAGATCGTCGTTGATGCGTTGCGCCCATGTTTGCGCTTCTTCAGGTTCGAGAAAATCTAACCAGGGGTTGGCGAGGGAAATCACGCTACAGTTGATTCCATGGCGGCGCATAAAGGCCAGCTTCACGTCGATATTCCAATAGGATGAGTCGACTGGACGACCCCGTTCATCGAGGGGAATGGAAGTGTCATCATCTGAGGACAGGATAATTAAACGGGGGTCTGCACCATTAGCTGGGTCATGGACATAAGGGACGCTCTTGCGAGCACGGAGCATTTCCATATACGCAGGAGGGTAGACATGGGTATGAATGTCAACAATAAGAGGTGGCATGATTTATTCTGCTCTTTCGAGTCCTGCAGCGAGGTGAATGTGTGTCAAGAGAAGGGAAATTGGTACTTTGGTTGTGAGGTTGATGAGGTTGCAATGAAGAGGAGGGGAAGTTGAGGAGTCGATGCATATGAAAATGAGGGCGGGGTTACAGTGTGCATCATCTCCAAGATCGCTCTTTTCCCAAGAATTGTAAGCATGCTGAATTCTGTTATCATGGCCTGATCAATCTTCAAATCAATGATTGTTGTTATCTTTCTCTGTCCTATGGAGATCCAAGTCAAGAAGATAAGATTAGATACCAACCTATGTCTGTACATAAATTATAATATTAGGTTGATGTACTATCTTCCCCGCTCGATTGGAAGCAGTATCATTCACGCAGGTCACGGGGGAGGATCTTCCACTCCTTTACGGATCGCCTTTTAATATTCCCCTTCATCTCTCTCGTTGTCCCGCCTCTGGTCCCGTGGAGTAGAAGTGACTTCACCAAGTCTTCACCTTGCGCCACCACGCCAGTTAACATTCAACCTCTCCCTTACCATAAATCCCCATTCCCATTATTCCCTTTCTTCAATCGACTATACTTCTATAACATACCCGCCCTGTGTGCTTGAGAACTAGCCTTCAAAATGGAGGGGAATCTGCCACAACATTCATGTCATCCAGCAACCACCGCTGTTGACAGAGATGATATTATCATTCCAGTGAGTATAATAGCTAAAGATCAATGCAATGCTCTCACTATATTATTCAACTTGATGATCAACTCATCTTTCTATATATCGTGAGCGTCTGACTTATGATTGTAGGTCATTGACTTCGGTCCCTTTCTCAACGGAACACCCGCTGATAAGCATGCCGTCGCCGTCTCCATTGTAGAAGCATTCAAAACATCCGGTTTCCTCTATCTCAAGGAGCACGGTCTTCCTCCTTCCGTCGTCTCCCGGGTGTTTGGCTCATCTGCACGCTTCTTTGCGCGACCCCAGGACCAGAAAGACAGTCTGTGCTGGACTACCCCACAGGCGAACCGTGGTTACGTGAAGACGGGACAAGAGAAGCTGAGCAACGTGGACGACCCAACGGCGCCTGAAGTTCTCCGAGCTACCCCAGATCTCAAGGAAACCATGGAGATTGGTCGCGATAATCTGGACGATCAACCCAATCGCTGGCCGGACCAGATTGACGACGAAGGAAAGGATTTCAGAGAAGTCATGACATCATTCTTCAACATGTGCAAATCCCTCCACACGGAAGTGATGAGAGCCATCGCACTTGGGATGAACTTACCGGAGCATTATTTTGACTCCTACGTAGATGCAGGAGACAATAATCTTCGACTGCTGCACTATCCAGCTGTGTCGAAGGAAGTCTTCAGGAAGAACCCGTCGCAGGTTCGTGCGGGCGAGCACAGCGACTATGGCTCCATCACGCTTCTCTTCCAAGATCGTCGCGGTGGGCTCCAAGTGCACAGTCCCAAAGATACCTATGTCGATGTGACCCCCATTGCAGATACAGTGGTCGTCAACGCGGGTGACCTCTTGGCTCGATGGTCGAATGATCTGATCAAGAGCACCCGTCATCGCGTCGTTGAGCCACCAACCCCCATTGGTGAGGAGGACAACTCTGACATGTACCCAGACCGCTACAGTATTGCATATTTCTGCAATCCCAATAACAACAAGCTCATTGAAGCTATCCCTGGGACCTATGGGGATGATATCAAGGAAGCAAAGTACCCAGCAATCGTTACCGGGGATTACCTGGTCCAGCGCCTCACAGCTACTTACTGAATCTTCAACAAACTGGTCGGTTATAATCCGCTCCAGCATTATTTGCCCAAGCTGCAGCCCTATTCTCCGTCTCTTATCCCTAGCTTCCGAAAAGCATTGCAACGTAGTGTCTGTTCATGACGATAAAAAGGTCAATGCATGTATCTCCCGTCTAATATTTACATGTTGATATGGAATGGAACCGTGAAAAAAAGCCAAGGGTGTCTCCTTAATACGTTGCCACCCCAGTACTCAGCCTTCCACCGTCAGTAATGGTGATATTCCCGTTCAAATAACCACCTGCAGCACTCGCCATATAAAGAATCAGCCCAGCGATGTCCTCCTCACCGCCAGCCCTCGTAAGAGGAATGATCTCCTTCTTAAACGACCCATCCGAGATCCCCTTATCACCCTCCTCGAAATTCCGCGTCGACATCTCGGATAGGTAAATTCCCGGTGCGATGCCATTAACTCGAATATCATACGACGCCAACGTCGTCGAAAGCATTTTCACCAAATGATTCGCCGCTGCCTTGGAAAGATTATACGCTGCACTCATCGGCACCTTCCGATTGAACCCCGCAATAGAAGTAGTAATAATAACTTGCGCAGTGGGCGCAGCAATCTGATTCTTCACGGGTGCCGGCCGCCGCTTATTCGCCGCTTCCAGCAGCGGGAGGAAAGCCACTGCCGTATAATAGGCACCGGTCACGTTTACATCCAGGACCTTAGTAAAGTCATCCATGGGGACGGACCAGAGAGCATCACGGACCTCGGCGAGACTGGGGAGGGATCCGTCTGGCTTAGGAGGTGGGGGACTGGCGTTTGGGCCGAGAATGCCGCTGTTAGCGATGAGGAGATCAACGTGATCTGTCTGTGCCGAGATAGTCTGGTACGCTGCTTCGAGGGATGCTTTTGAGGAGACGTCCGCTTGGATGGGGATTATGGCGCTGCTCTTGCTGTTCGGGCTTTGCGTGATGGTTTCTTGCAGGGCTTCTTGTCGGCGGCCAATGATGAAAATCTTGGATGCGCCATTTGCGTCGAGCGTGTGGGCCATCATACGGCCTAGGCCTGTGGTGTTGTTGTTAGCTGGTACTTTGTGATGGGGTTCGTTGCTTTTCTTTGCTTGTCTTGGCTCAATGCGGCCTGTTTCTCAATTTATGCGGTGATATGGTGGACTTGTCACTTGCGTATTGGTTGTAGAAGAAGAAATACGAGGGCAAACAATGATTCTGCTTGTACTTACCACTTCCCCCTCCTGTTAGGACTACGACCAGTCCTTTGACGGAGAATAGACTAGAGGGTTGAAGGTGAGACATGTTTGGGTGAAGGGGTGAAGTTCGTAAATGTCCGTAGTTGACAAGGGGTCAAGTGAAGTAGCAGTAGCGTGTCAGCAGGGTTTCCTTCTTCCAGAGATATGTCAATGGTTTATAGAGGAGGAACAAGGATGAGTTGATTGATAAGTAGAAGTCGTCATTTTCCCCACTCGGGGTTGGACCGAGTTGCCTGCGGGGTAATTCTCCCCTTCCCCGGTGTTTGCTCCTTCGCGTCTTTTATTTCCAACTAGAGTCCTTTGAACATACTGCGGTTCCTTCTGGTTGTAGAATGCAATTGATCTGTATCTCTTTGGAGGAGCAAGACTGGGTACATCAGGCTTGTTTTCAACGGCGGACACTTTTATCACTAGCAATCTATCTGTCTTACATCCTATACTATGAGACTTAGGTACCATAATTCCACGCCCATTAGAGCTCAGGGCTAACTCAATTGCATGATACATCCTACAGTCGTCTCTCCTGAATAATACTATGCTTGGTCAAATCGCGGGTGTTGACAGTTGATCCAACTTTGTATCAAAGTGTATCCAACCACCCCTCGAGGCAACAGGCAGCCAAAGTCTCCCTTTATAGAGAATTCGCATTTGGTCTTCACCATCGCAATGCTCTCTGTAAGCCGGTGATCATCTGTTTGAACTTAGGGTTTTTGGGTCACGAGACGCCGGCAATCCAACAGGTTTGTGGAACATACAAGTGTATCGTACTCAGGAATGCATAACTCTGAGTCAAAAGAAACACCTCCCCCACTTGCTAGAAGGTGTCTTCTACGAGAACTTCGGTCCTCGGTATTCGGCTCGTCGGGTTCTGATTCCAATTGATACGACCTTCTAGAAATAGATGAGCTTTGCTTCACGTCATCGTTCCAGGCCAGCCGTTACTTTCCGGCATTGCGCCTCGACCGAACACAAACAGGCTCTTAACTTCTAATATTCGTCAGTCCCACTTTTTTCACGTTGTATGCATTTTAATTCTGCAAGCTATGCAACTATATATGCCCTTTTGTTCTGAGCGTGGCAGTGGCCGATACACACCTCGACGAGCCAGCTCAGTAGCACCAACCTTGTCCGGTGCACTGGATTGTCAAATCTCACATAATAACAATATCATTTTAATCACCACTAACTTACCTACTATGTATATGCGATGCGATTCCTGCAAACACCGTGAGTGAGAAGATCTACTTTTTCATGCCCACTTTCAGACGCTGTGTAGCGCGACTGGTTTAAAACCACCGGCATTTCTGTTTCAACGGCCTATCGAAGTCAACTGGAAGGTTCCAAATTGCGGAGGAGCAATCTCCTCCACAACAATTGAAGCTATGATCAATTATAAGGTACTTCTATCCCGTTTTAGGTACCCATTTGCTGCCAGCTGGATGGTTGTGACATGGGCATGCCGCATGTATTACGCATGTAACATCTACAAGGCATGACGGTCAAATTCAAAATTCTAGACTGGCAATGGAGATGATAGACGAAATGATAGAGGAATTGCGTCACGCATGGCCCAGCAACTTGACGGAATGAACACGGAGTCTTTATAAATTGCCGGTGCCCATAATCAACGTTCGTAACCTCTATCAGCCGGTTCTTGAGTTGATAAATATACATTCTTGTTAATCTGTGGTGATTTTAACGCGTTAGCGGTTGGAGATGTCCTTGAATCGGTTTCTCGCGCTCAGTTGCCTGAGCTCCGTGCCAGCGATACTGGCGATGTCCCACGCAAAAGTTGTTCGATCTACAACTGTGCCACCTGTGGTCAGTCACCCAACTTCGTTAACCCACACTCCATTCAGTGGCACCCCAACCACCACTGGAGCATTGCATGCTTCTTCAATTGGTACTGGGGTTCCCAGCTTGGGGATCTCGCCCACAGCAACAACTTACCCTAGCGATGGGCAACTCCACGACCCTCAGCCAGGCCCATATATCCCAGCTGGGGGTGTTGGAACTGGGGGAGAAACGCCAGTTTACGATGCGAAGAGCGACTTCGACTATGAGCCGTTAGTATGCTAATAAATGGCTTATAGGTTAAAGGGCTCATACGGACTATCATACTAGGCCCTTGCTCTTTATCAAGAATATACTGAACTTGATCTGTTCCACGATGGCTTGGCCCGCTTTTCGGTAGAGGAATTCACAGCTGCTGGGCTCACGGCTGAGGATCGTTTTTTAATCGAGTTCATGGCAGACCAGGAGGTTGGACATGCAACGATTGTTACTAACATACTAGGAGCAGAGGCCCCTAGGATGTGCACCTATAACTATCCGTATACCACGGTGTATGAGTTCGTGGACTTCTGTCAGAAGCTTACTCGCTTTGGGGAATCTGGTGTTTATAGTTTCCTACCTCAATTCGCGTGAAGCAGCAATACTTCTTCTCCAGTCGATTACCACAGAAGCTAGGCAGCAAATGATTTTCCGTCAATTCGAAGGACTTTTCCCAATGCCGGTCTGGTTTGAGGTTGGTGTACCCCAGTCTTCGGCTTGGACATTACTGGCACCATACATCGGCTCGTGCCCCGAGAATCAAACCAGGTTGGCCTGGCAGAACTTCCCTGCCTTATACATCGAAAACCAGCCAAATCCGGCGAGAATCAACGGATCATCTGCTTTCAATGAGACAGTAGGAGGAGGTGTGAATTCTTTGAATAGTACCGCTGTCCCCAGCGACGACTCGTGTGTCAACTCCACTACCCTGGGCACTAGCTGCTACCCTGCGATTACGCACAACCGCACGCTGGCCCTGTCATGGCCAGGTCGAGAGGTGTTTCTTCACTGGGATGAACCAGGTTGACCAGTCGGGCCTAACAACAGCTATATCACCTCTACGAACGCAGGAGATCCCAAATACGTAGTGTGGGTAACGCAGCTGAATGTGACATATTCTCCCCTAGAAATGACCGGCGACAACTGTGGATCGACAATTCAACCTGACGTCCAAACTTATGCCGGCGATCCTGCAATTAATGGCACCATGTTCATTGCGATCACAGACTCAGACCCCTATTTGAGTCCGTTCAACCTCTCAATGATCAATCCCCACGTGGTTGCTGGCCCGGCCCTCTATCAATCTGGTTGATAGATTCTTCATCTTGAGGCGTGTATAAGCTGATAAGCTAAGGTATATTAAGCCTCGTTAGACATGTCATCTTCTAGGTGTTTTTCCATTTTTGAAGCCAGGAGGAAGCTTGGTGATGGGCGCATTCCTTTAATTGACGCGAACTCGCCGAGATAGTCTATATGGAACAATGCTGGAAGAACTGATTGATGCTCATATATTCCAAAAATTGTTTTCTTTAACTAGCCATGCTCAGATAAAATTCTCAGTTGAAGGGGTGTGTATATAGACTTGCATGATATGACATGTCCATAAATAGCAACGTTAACTCCGCTAATGTCCGGCGGCGATCGTAAACATTTCTCCCGACTTGACAGGTGAGCTTTTTCCATCGACAACCGTTCAAACACCTATAGCTCAACCAACGCCGGATTTCCCATACGCCTAATTTCTCTACATTACGCGCCATTATGGAAGCACCTAGGAATCGAAAGCAACGACGAGCAGCCGCCGCTGCCTCCAAGAGCGAGTCCGACTCCACCTTCGATCCGTCCTCCATCCCGATGGCCCATCCGCCCCGAAGCACCACAAAGAACCCGAAAGAAAAGACGCTGGTGGAGTTGATAGCTGAGCGGGAGAGCGAACTGCTAGGCCTGGGCCATGACAGGAGCTCGACCGGAATGGACGGTTCGACTCCTGGGACCCGATTCGTGAGCATCGACCCGACGTCTGGCGAGATTTCCAACTTGGATGCATCGGAACTCCCAAACGAACAACAAGGAACAAAAGAATCTATCACGGGGTCAGCATCTGACGGGAATTCGGGGTCTGGGGAAGACGAGGACGCGCCAATCCCACCGTTCATCGACACGGTGCTGCTCTCGGTGCCCCTGACGACGTTACACATGACGTTAGCCTATCTCGCGGCTCATCAGTACGCGGAATACATCGTTTTGGACAAACTCATCCGCGAATCTGTATTCGTTGCCTTCCCGATCCTGACGTTTGCCATTCACCTGGCGCATGGGCATATCGTGTCCTTCGGTAATGCCCAGAGCTCAGAACACGTCTCGCTCATCCCGTTCCACCGAGATAAATTATCGATCGGGTTTCTTCGAAAACTGCTCTTCCCGCCATCATTGCGGACTATGGTCTTCCTTCCGCTTGCTATCTGCCTTGGGGCTAAGCTGATGGCCATGACCAACGAAGAGCCATACTACGCTGTCATGAAGCGAGCACCTTCCATTGGGACGCTATGGGTGTGGAGCATCTTGGAGATCCCAGTAGGCGCGGCTGTATTGGGGGCATTGGGGCCAATGATTTGGGGTGTGTGGTGGAAAGGTTACGGCATTCTCTGAGCGGAGATGCGGCAGCAGTTACCGGAGAGTCCGAATATCTAACCAGGGATGTCCTGCCCGACATGTGCTTACGCTCTTTCGGTTGGCTTTCACATTATTCCATCTCCAACTGCCTCTGTAGGTCAGGCGGCACACGTGCCGCCGCTGTATAACGGGAGTGTTCGGGATTAGCGAAACTTGGTTTGGGCGCCAGCCAAATGACAACGTCACCATACAGGGTAGATGGTCTAGAGTACTAGGTTTGAAGACGCAACAACGTTGTATGCATGAAATTTCGAGGGGTTTCGGTCAGGTTCGGTGTGGGACTGCAGTGACACTGCATACATCACAACGGACATCTGGCAGCCAACAGTGGGCCAGCTGTGCGTACACAATAGTAGTGGGGATGTTGGGCTGGGAATAGTGTGGCACAAGCCTCTAGGCAAGAGCAATGGTTTTACATACTACGGCGTACAGGCAAGAAATTTCCTGGCAAGGATTCCAGCCCATCATGTGAATATGACTTACTGGGTTGTGAAGGGCAACAGAGAGAGGCTACGACTCTCCGGTCACACCAGAACAGCAGGCTATCAAAATTCTCGATTCCCGGTTTTTGGCCGAAACGGATGAATTACATCCAATATAATCCATTTAGGAAACTTACAGGCGAGCGAATAGCATCCTAGCGGGAATTAGCTGGCCAGGGGTCGACGTGGCGACAGTCTAGTCGGGGACTAGGTTGACTGTTCCTGGTCGACTGAGCCTTGCCACGCTTAAGGCCCCAAGATTGGATGGAATACGCCGGGACGAACTAGACCGGGATTGAAACCCGACAGCTGGATCCCTGTGCAAGCGATGGTGCCTTGAATCCAAGCGAACGGGGTGGTGTCTGCAGCTAGAGGAGACTATGTCACATGACGATATGCAACCCCAGTTACTCGACGTCCGTTCTCGGATAGACCGATATCAATGGCCTTTCCGCTCGCTGGGATCATTGGCGACGGACAGTGACTAGTTGCTATCGTCGCGACCGCCACCAAACCCTCGGAGGGGGTTGTTGTCTGTCATTCAGTGATCGGCAAGGAGGGGAAATGGAGGCACGAAAAGCGGCGCAGTATCACCCATCACCTAGCGCGCCAGGCGCACAGTCACCGGGGCCTTGGAAGCAGCACGAGTAACTCCACCTTCCATTCCCTCTTCGAGAGTCTCGTCGATAGTCTGAATTGGAATCTCAGAGAAAGCGGGGCTAGAGTGGAGGAGGGGTTTCAAGCGCCTTGAGGGCTGGTGATAGACGGGACCAAGGATAAAAGCTTCACACCATGAGCTGAGCGCGGACCAACCGGGTAGAAAAGCACGGATGGGACGGACAGCCGTACGATCCCGCAAAGCAGATCCAATCCCAAGTCAACCGATGACAGCTGATGGCGTGTAACCTTCCCAAAGCGGGAAAGAAGATAGACAATGAGATTGTCGCGCTCTGATACTAATGGGTTCATCACCCGTCGGGAAACCTTGTTGGGGCGATTTGACAGGCGCATTGTCCGATCTAGTTCAATCGAACTACTGAATGCTAAATCGATTAAGTCAATCTATTTTTTTGGCGAGCCGAACCCATCAGTCGATCAGCTCAGCCCGGCTGAGAGGAGAGGAAAAAGCAAAGAGAAACATGTGGCGGTGCGAGACCTGCGCCACACTCGTGTCTTGTAATACTTTACTAAATATAAATGCATCCAACAAAAGTCAACAAGCTCAACAAAGTACAACAACAAAAGGACTCAACTTTGAGACCAGTATTAAACTTCCCAAAGTTGATCCTCCTCTTACCTCTTGCAGTAATCGACGCCCTCGAACTAGAACTAGGGAATCGTGCATGACGGGTCTCTTTTGCCCACCGCCACTCAAGGTGGACTCCCTCCAGCTCCACAGGAGGCTATTGTTTGGGTTGGCGGATCCCCGTCAGTGATCCATCCCACAGACCGTCCTTCTCCGATTTCTTTTGATTTTCTTTTTCCCTTCTTTTAATTTAAAACGAATCCATTTGACTTTTGTACTCTGAAACTTAGTTTCACAATATGGAATAGCAAAGGAAATAATAAATTAATCACTCAACTAATCAAATACACCAAAAGCAAAACCAACCCAAACTCAATCAATTAATAATCAAAAATAAAATAAATGAATGAACTAGTTTAGTTACAAATGAAATCCAAAGAAGCAAAAAGCAAGAGGACAAAAG